ACCATATATAGTTGATTGGTAGAACAAAAAACAGTTTTCCTGTATTAGTGTAAAACCTTTTTTCTAATAGCATTAGCCATTAGCTATAGATTGTCGTAGTTGTTAAGATCAAATTTATAATCAAAATATGAGATCGAATAGTTCCAATATTATCGTTTACTAAAATATTGAATCGGATCCAAGAGACTTCAAATAACCGGTCCAAATCATCCCCATTTTATTTCTTTTTAAATCTTTTCCAATTGCGCATCCAAACTATTCATTACTAATGGATAATTAATCAAACCTGAAATATTGACTCGCGATTCAAATTAACAAGTTTATACATGGTTTATGTCACGGCTTAACATTAAGATTTTAGTTGTATACGTCGTGTGTATATATATCATATCTATATACATTTTATATATTTAAAGAGCATCATAGATATTAAGTATTGTAATAAAAGAAGTTATTGGGATCATAAACGGGAACACAATTATTGCGAAAAGGGGATCAAAATGAGTACAGCGAAGCAACATACCCATAAGCGTAGAGCACATATGACCTTCGTGCCTGGTCAAGCTTATTAGTCTCACTCGCTTACCCTACAGTCTCATACTTTGTTTTTCTGAAGCCAAAGATCTCTCCTCAAATTTTACAATTTCTTGGAATTTGTTTGTCTCACTTTATCTATCTATATTTATTTATGATTCTCTCTTTGATTCTTCGCTAAGGATCCATGTTCTTTCTGTGCTATTCTCATTATTGTTTTCTTTTCCTCTCTTAGAACGTCTTCTATGTAATTCAATTATTATATAATCAATTAAAATTTATTTCAAGAATAACCGCAGTTTACATGATGTGATGCATGATTTATTAATAATACATTTTTTCCAAGACAATTAAGATGAGCTCCTTCATTAATTTTGCATATTTATAATTTTATATAATTAACTATTATGTTTAACTGCCCTAAATCGAAAAAACTCATCAAAAAGTTAACTAAATTAAACGTGTAATCTAATTTCAAGGCAAATGTACCAAAATCAAGTACTAGTATTTTTTTTTTTTTGCTTTTGTTGCAATGTCTTAGAACATCTCTCTTGATATCATTTTTAGAATAAATCTCTATAAACCAATTTTACATAAGGTGTAAAAGTGTAACTGTGGAGAGAGGCATTGATGTCAGTATAGTAGAAAGGAAAAGGGTTTACCTGATAGAATGAATCTACTTGGAAATTGAGGAAGTTTCGCGGCGATCGAGGATGAGGTGCCCATTATCACTTGACCGATTTTTATCAAATAATATCTGGAAAAATCACATCAACAACTTTTTGGTGGACAAAACATTTTTGAATCAAACTGTTTTCTAGATTTAAACAAGTTGTCAATATATATGACATTTTGTTTTTTGTTTTTTTTTGTTAAAAGATCTTCATATATGACATTTTGTTATAAATAAATCATTGTACTTGTATATTTATGTTGTGAGTTGCATTTCTCTATCACCAACATAACCTAAGTTGTACTACAGAATGTCGAATTTGAGTTCAAGTTACACAACTTAATAACTTTTGAAACGGTCCGCCTGTTTGTTTAAGTTGTGAGATGCATTTCTTTTGTTTATTTTTTATTTTCTTTTTTGAGGAGTGAAGACCGTTTAAAAGGCTGGTTTGACAAAATTTGGTGAGAGCCATTTAGAAAAATAAGATTATCTTTATAAAAAAACTAGATGTGATACGCGCTACGCGCGAATTGTGTTAATTTTATTGTTTTTCTGCAAATTTACTATTGTTTCAGAGATATTATGCACATATTACTTAAATATAATTAGAGTTAGGCAAAAAATTTGTACCATCTTATTCTATTTCGTTCTATTTCGTTCATTTTCATCATGTACAGTAAAAACTCTATAAATTAATAATGTCGGGACTTTGATATTTTATTAATTTATAGAGTTATTAATATATAGATTTTGACCAAAAATGTTTTTAAAAAAAAAAAATCAATAATAATAATCTTTTAAGTTTTCCTTCAAATGAAATAAGAATTTTCCTTTATACATGTATTTTTTTTAAATTTTTTCTTTAATTGTTTCTATATTTACTTTATTGTTTACATTTTCTCATACTCGCTATATTGTTTTAGATTTTTTTTTTCCTTTTATTTTTTTTTATGTGTGAGAGATTCATATTTTAGTAGGTAGATATCTAGATAAAAATATAAAATATATATATATATAAATAAGTTTTTATATGATAATTATTAATTTATGATATTATTGGGACCATATTTTACATAGGAGATTAAAAAAAGTTATTATCTTATTATCTTATCGAATTGTGCAATATTTTACACCGACCCTACTTGGAACCGGATAAAATTTATTAATTTATCGTATTTATTAATTTATCGAGTATTAATTTATAGAGTTTCTACTGTATGTTCTTTCCCGTCCCGTTTGTCATGTATGTCCTGTCCCGTTCAGACCTATCCTATCCCATTATAATTCTTTCCATTTTGTTTATTATTGTCTTGTTCCCTAAATATAATTAGTGGTAGACATAATTCTATCCCATTCTGTTCATTTTCATCATGTCATGTTCTTTCCCATCCTGTTTGTTTTGTCTGCCCCATCCTATCCCATTATATCTTATTATGTTCATTTCCAATTTGTCTTATTACTGTTTCGTCTCTAAATATAATTAGGATATGCAAAATTCTCATCCCGTCCCTTTCCGTCACATTATGTCCTTTTTCATCACATCCCGTCCAATCTCGTCACATTCCATTTCTTTTCATTTTGTCCCATCCAACATTTTTGTCTTGTCCTCTCTCATCATGTTTTTTTTCGTTTTTTCCGTTCCACCCCTACTTTGTCTTGTCCTATTCCGTTCTTTTCCGTTCCTTTAGATCTCCTCTCATCACTTAATATTATAAGAAGTAAACAAAATTTCCTTTTTCTCCAATTCTATTTTTTTCGTCTCGTCATATTCAATCTCGTCTCTTTTCATCCAAAAATACTATAGAAAAAAACAATATTCTTTGTCTAATATATTATTATTATTATTATTATTATTATTATTATTATTATTATTAAATAATAACTTTTTAAGATTTATATATGATATTTTTTTTCTTTTATAAAAATAATTTTTCAAATTCTTGCAAAAACTATCATATTATTTAATGATGTATTAATGAATAATCATAAAGAATTAAAATATAAGAAGATAAAATATAATAAATTAAAATTAATAAATACAATACTGACGTGGCAAATTGGTGAATTTAGAGGGGGTCTCTTTTGGTAAAGTGGCAACAACAAAATAGAATAACACCAACTTTATATATATAGATAATTATAGGAAGAATTTAAAGAGAGCTACTTCTTATTTAAGCTCTCTACGTTTGAGTATTATTCAACCTATAATCCCGAGATGTGTAATCAAACGTTGCGTCTAAATTCTAATAGAACTTAGTCCTAGCTAGTGTTAAATAGTTGATCAACAGAACAAAAATACCCAGTCTTGTATGAAAATATTGTGAATAATATATATTAAAATAACATTTTGATATTTTAGAAAAATTATGTTTCCATTAAAAGATATATAAGACAACAGTTTGTAAGACTATTTGAATTTAAATCTAGCAGAATAACCTAGAAACAAAATAACAAGAGCAAAGCCGCTAATGACAGATTGTGATAAATATGTCAGGAAAAAAAAACAAAGAGGACAAAGTAGTCGGAAAGACATAAAAAACAAAAAGCAAGTAACAAATTATAAAAAGTTTGTTTTGGGTTTACGTAATACGTTTACGAATTATATATTCTTGTTTTATTTTATGTTTGTTTGTGAGGGGAGAATGTGAGGAGAGGATTGAAACACGACTAAAGAGAGGAGGACAGACAATCGAAGACAGATCTTATCTCTATCCCGCCCAGGCTCCCACGACTCTTCTCTTTGGAAACACAAAGCTATGTGTTCTTTTTCTTTTTTAAGTAATTATTTTCCTGAGCAATTTCTATCATCTCAAATAAAAAAATAGTCAAGAGACAAACAATTTTCGAAATTTTGTGAACAATACGTGAACATTAATGAGATGTGTCATGCACGTGATGAAAAAACTAAATAAGGAAAGGCTGTACATAGAAATCTTCTTGGTTAAGAGACAAAAGATCTTTTCTAGGCTTTGGTCCATGTATCTCCCTCTCTCTCTTTTTTTTGTTCCTTTTCTTTTATATAATCTAATATTTGCATTGTAATCAGAAATATAATAGAGCTACTATTTCTGGAATTATACAGTTCCACCATATGAAATTAGCAGGATCACAAATTCAAATGACATCTAAAATAAAAGTGAATGTTATTGTTAGATGATCCTATATTTGTAATACAGTAATAGTGATGTTTACTCGTAATACACATGTCGGTATGTCAAATCTAACGTAATTAAGAATGAGATAATCGGATGATTTGTTGGGTGGTGAATGGAATGCACGTGCTTGAGAAGTTAGTAGTAAGCTAGAAAATGAAGGATAATGCGATAACATGTGCCTCATCCCGACAAAACACATCTCACATGTAATTATAGATTTGCACATACACATATTATACAAAGAAAAAAAAAATGTGAAATTTCTACACCCTAAAATTAAAATACCATAAGATAACAATCCCTGTTATTTATATATTAATATCACCCACCCATATGTTTTCTTTTAGTTTGAAATAGTGAACTTTTTACATTTATATCGGAATATTAAACTAATTTTGGATCGATGTCATATATCAGCTTTTACTGAAACTTTACATGCCCAATTTATACGTAAATTACTAGAAAGTCATATCTTACATATATGTCATTGAATTATAGATAATTTTCTCTTTCTTTGAATCATATATAACACACATGTATAAATAGAGGCAGATACATGTAACCTCCCTAAAGGAGCATTGTTATCTCAAAAAATATTTGCCATCTCTCTATCTCTCTTTTTTCTCTCTCTCATTCAAATGTCAGTAAACCAATACTCAAGCGATTTCCACTACCATTCTCTCATGTGGCAACAACAGCAGCGACATCACCACCAAAACGACGTCGTGGAGGAGAAAGAAGCTCTTTTCGAGAAACCTTTAACCCCAAGCGACGTCGGAAAACTCAACCGCCTCGTCATACCAAAACAGCACGCCGAGAGATACTTCCCGCTGGCTGCCGCCGCCGCGGACGCGGTGGAGAAAGGACTTCTCCTCTGTTTCGAGGACGAGGAAGGTAAGCCATGGAGATTCAGATACTCGTATTGGAACAGTAGCCAGAGTTACGTCTTGACCAAAGGCTGGAGCAGATATGTCAAGGAGAAGCATCTTGATGCAGGTGACGTCGTTCTCTTCCATCGCCACCGTGCTGACGGCGGAAGGTTCTTCATTGGCTGGAGAAGACGCGGTGAATCTTCCTCCTCCTCCGACTCTTGTCGCCATCTTCAATCTAATGCCTCGCTCCAATATTATCCTCATGCAGGTACCCTTTTTTATTTAATTTAATTACCGAGAAATCCTAAACGGGAATCCAGACAAATCTATTGAACTTGTGAAAAAAATGTATTCGTATCATTTAAAAACATCAATAGTGACTAACTATGATAAACTCGGACCATATAATTAGAGTTGGTTAGGATTTTCATTTTTTCAACAGAAATGGTTAGGTCATAAACACTGAATATTAATATATATAATATACTAGTAAACAAGTTACGGAATTTGGAAGAGAAGTCCATTTTGTCTCTTCTAATTTTTGTCAACGTATAAAATCATTTTCCATGCACATATTGGGTATATAACGGAATTATAGTTTAACGAGTCATGCGATAATCTATGTATTTATTTTAAGTTTTTTTTAGTCTTTAAATAATTATAAGTTGAAAAGTGAAACTCTATTTTCAAATTTTCATGGTATTATATGAAGTTACGTGACCCATTTGAAAGTAACGCTTTATCTTGTTTGGGGCTTGAAATGGCGCGTGAGGTTAGACGCTCTTTAAAGTCAGTAGAGAAGTAGAAATAAAGAAATGATGGAAGCCCACAGAAAAAGAATCGGATTCGTATTATCAAACACTGCGTGACATTTGTTGCGTATCCTTCTTACACCTATCTTTATCCGTTTTCATTTTTTCACTAAAGTTATATACATTAACAATTTAATATATAGTATTTTTAATCGGTATCTTAGACCGTAACCAAAACGGCATGCAGTAAATTGCTATATATTTTCCGAATAACTCATCCACTAAAAACTGCTATAAGACATCAACCAAGTCCAGTACGCATCACCAAACATTGTATATATATATATATATATATATATATATATATATATATATATATGTTTGCAAATTAACTATTTGTTTCATGTGATGTGGACAAAAAGATTTGCAGTACCAGTGTAATTCGCATATAATATACGTGTATAAACGTCACGTGTCATTGTGACAAATAAACTTGTCATCTGAGTACCAAAAATGGAAATTCTCTTCCGAATAAAGTTTTGGTCATTTTGGGAAATTACATGACTAAAGTCACTGTAGACTTATCCATTATGGATTCCTCGATTTCGATTCCTATAATTTTGACGTTAGTTAATTGTATGGCAGGGGCTCAAGCGGTGGAGAGCCACCGAGGGAACTCGAAGACATTGAGACTGTTCGGAGTCAACATGGAGTGCCAGCTAGACTCAGACTGGTCTGAGCCATCCACACCTGACGGTTCCACCACATGTCCAACCAGTCATGACCAGATTCATTTCTACCCTCAACAACACTATCCTCATCCGTACTACATGGTACGTTCCAATTATAATTTTATACAATAAATAAATAGCTTAAAATATTTGCGTTTTATTGAAGTCTAATCAGAGTAGTTAGAGATAAAAGTCCATATAATTTAAACCGACATTTAGTGTTACTCTTCACGCGTTTTCATAATCAGATAAAGTTATTCGATGTTTGACCCTTTTTCCATTTATAGTTACCATGACGTTATTCTATCTCTACGTTCTTTAATATATGTGCCATATACTGTTTTCTCAAATCCAATAATAGATGTGGAACAGTGGAAGTAGCTTTTTATTACTTTTTTGGTAATCTTTATTCTTTATACTCTAGTTTTATTTAGAAACTTCAAACAAGAATATAAAAAAAAAAAGTGAACATATCACGCAAAGTAGTTTATCTAAACGACTAAACCATCCCCAAAAGAAGTGCGGTCCATTATTTTTATTGTTATTATTATTACTATTAGTGTTACTATTAGTGTAATAAGTTCTAATGTTTGTTATTATTGTTAGGCACGTTTTCCATTTATATCATATGCTTTTCAGTCTCCATGACCAATAATTTTGACAATCCCGTCAAACTTTTCTTCTATACCTAATCTATATACATGAGTAAGCATAATATTGATGTGTCGATCTTACGTGTGAACGTATATGTATATATAGACACATCACACATATATGTCTTGTTCCAACATCTACTATTATTGGATTTTAGTACCTATACAATAAAATCTACTCTTTGACAACGAAAATATTTGGATTTTGGACCATTCCCTCTCATAAGATGCTTGCCCCAATAATAAAGACATATTATCGTATTCTTAGGAGATAATGACATCTAATACCTAATATATCTTTATATTGACTACATAAGTCAAGAAAATGGAAACTCTATTTCATTATATTTTGCAAGGGATTGTGAAATTAAAGGTGGTTTAAAACTTTTTTGTTTGTTTCCAGGATATAAGTTTCACAGGAGATGTGAACCAGACGAGACCACAAGGATAGAAAAAAGTTACTTCACATCAGAGGTTCCTGTCATGTTGTTTTAGATGTGGATCCCTTAATTTTACAAGCTTCATTTTGTAATTTTTAAAGTAAAATCGTATTGATTCTTCCTTTAACCTCTCTCAATTTTCACTCTCTCCTTTTTTTTTCTTATGTTCTAGATTCTATTTTTCTTAGTTAACAATTGTATAGAATTAAAAGTTCTGTCTATTCGACAATTATCTATTATATACTTTAGTTCCCAATCTATTGAGGCAAAACATCAACCAATTATATCAATATATATATATATATATATATATATATATATTTGGTACAAGTTAGTCTAAAATATCATTGATGTTGAAAAATACACCATTTTTTTAAAACTAACCTCTAACATAAATTTATCTACTGACATCAACAAACGACTGATAAAAAGTTTAAGTACTAATTTTTTTTCTTACAAGTTTGATATGTATCAACGACGACTGGTAAAAAATTTAAGTACTAATTTTTTTTTGTTGTACATGTTCCACCCTTATCTCAGATTCTCAGTTGGTAATCGAATCAAACACAATCGCACAAAACTTGATTGACGAATTTCTCTACCTTTCTGTCCAGTGTTACGAGTCTATAGCTTGCAACACCCACAATAATCAAAGATTATACAAGCTGTGTGAATTTTTGATCTCTTCTTGAAAATTTCTTGTTGGTTGTTGCACGTACACTAGAGGTTACAGACTTACAGCCGAATATTAAGAAAGAGTAAAGGATGCGGAGAAGAAGCTCGGGTCCTTTTAAGTTTGAACAACTTCTTCATGGGCCTAGATAGACATCAACGTCTTTTTGTTAGAGCAGAAATTAGCACAATTTCCCTGAGCCCGTCACAATTAATAATACTATGTAAGCCCGGCCCGTTTCCACTTCCACCTCCTCAAAGAAAAGGAAGTACTTGGAGAAAAAGACTACATCCAAGAAAAATAGAAGGAGATCAACGCCAAAGAAGAATATTTCCAAAAGAAATATGGAAGAATATCTTGAGGAAGCCAACCTCCTCTCCATATAAATAGAAGACCCCCTATTCCTTGAAGACCATTCAGAATCATTCATAATCACCCACAATCACTGAGAGCAAAGAGGCAAAACCCTAGTTATAATTCGTCCTTTAGCTTCTCTATTCTTTTCGTATTCGTCTCGTCAAGTCTTATCGTCGAGACGAATCACCCCTTGTATCATCTTTGTCTTTGGTTGATCTAATAAAGAGTCTCTCCTAAACCTCACATCTCTTATCTTACTATTATTGTGTGATTTTGAGATCTAACAATTGGCGCCCACCGTGGGGCTGGAGAAAAAACTCTGAAAAAAGTCAATCAAGGTTCAAAGATGGCACCTCCAGCTGATGATCCCAGCATCAGAACAGGCGGACTGCAAAGTCAACTCGGCGCAGATGGAAACCCCATCGTCCATCCCGTCGAAGTCGACGCGACCAACGGTCACGTCAACCCTCCGCCGCCACCGGTTCCTGACGTAGAAGCTCCCGTCACGACCGCCGCGTTAACCGCCGCCATGCAAGGCTTTGCTGCTCAAATTGCTTCTCAATTCGCCGAGATGCAAGCTCAGCAGCAAAAGTACAACGACAAGATCGACTCCCTCCACGTCACCAGCGACGGACGAGTCATCCCGACGGGACGAACTCTCTTCCAGACGCCGACAAGAAGCACCGCCGCGACTGGCTCCAATGCCGCGACGAATGGTGAGAAAGACACCGACCCGGAAGTGGCCAAGCTGCGCCGCGACCTCGACGCAATCAGCTCCAAAGTGCACGACGCTATCAGCTCGTCACCCGAGATTGCCAAAATCCTCGCCGAGACGAAAAGGAGTCCTTTCACTCGTCGCATCGCCGCGATACCTCTAAAGGATCAAACGGCTCTCCGTCTTCAGTTCTACAACAATGGTGACGATCCTCGAAACTGGCTAAGAAACTTCGAGATGGCCATGAGAAGGCAAAATATGCCTCCCCCGAAGAACAAGACGCAAATTACTGTCAAGTGTTCATCGAGCACATGAACAAAGACGCGACGAGCTGGTTTTCGAACCTTCCTGCCGAGACCATCGACAACTTTGATGATCTCAGCACGGCATTCATGAAACACTTTGGCATGTTTATGTCAAAAGGCAGCACCAATCTTTTCACTATGGCACAGGGAAAAGATGAGTCTCTTCGCAAGTTCGTCGAGAGATTCAAAACAGCAGCAGCTGAGCACTCAGACATCCCCGACAAGATGGGAATCAAGCTTTCGAAAACGGGCTTTGGTTCGAATCAAAGTTGAAAGAGAGTCTGATGCTCGACGAACCCGCAACCCTCCAGGACGCTTTGCACAGTCCCAAAAATACGTCTGTCTTGAAGAAAGCAAGGCGCACCACTCAAAGATTCATGGAATGACGAAGGATCATCTCGCATGCATCATCTCGTCAAGAGTCATCTCATCAAGAGTCATCTCGTCAAGAGATAAAAGGAGGCCTCTAAGGAGTCTTTCACAGGGCAGCGACGAGTCCAAATGGTGCAAACTCCATGGACGAACCGATCATACTACAGAAGAATGTAGGCGCATCAACAGCATGATACTAGAGTACGGCAATACTCCGCAAAGCCAAATGATGCTGAACGCCGCGACGAAAATCGACGAGCTGCAAACCAGCGCCAAAGTAGAAATACGACGCGCCAAGATCGAAGACGACGACGCCGAGAAGAACGCGCCTGCATCACTCCCTCACCAAGATGATCTGCCTCCGCCGCCGAAACGGCAAGTCCGATAAACATCTCGGCATCAAACCGGTCTCAAGCACGAGACCGAGAAAACGAACTACGAATGGCTTGATCCCGGCATGGGTACGTAGGCAGCCTTTCCAAAGGTTCAGCTATACCCCCAATAAAATTCTATAATCCGTCTGACGAGATGAGCATTGTAAAATTTTATTCACCTCCAAGGGCACACGTCGACGTTCTGGCCAAACCTCTCGACAACACCGATCTCGTCATCACACGAGATCGAGCGGTCTCGTCATCACACGAGCCCGAGAAAACACCGATCTTGTCATCCAAGATCGAGCGGTCTCGTCATCACACGAGCCCGATAAAACCGGTCTCGCCAAAGCGCGAATCCGAGAAAAACATACGGACTGATCATCCATGAGGAGTAAGCCGACGCGAAGCCGTCGCGTCCGAACCGATGGGAATGCCTTCAGACTTTGGGGTGAGCCCGAAAGGTCTGAGGTCTGAAGGACGAAATCGAGCGGTCTCGTCATCACACGAGCCCGATAAGACACCGATCTCGTCATCATATACGAAATCGAGCGGTCTCGTCATCACACGAGCCCGAGAAGACACCGATCTCGTCATCATATACGAAATCGAGCGGTCTCGTCATCACACGAGCCCGATAAAACCAATCTCGTCGAAGCTCAAATCCGAGAAAAATTGTCACAGCAATCTATTCTCCTTGACGAGACAAAAGAGTCATCTCGTCAAGTCCGAGAGAAATTATCAAAAGCACATTCTATTTGCGGACAAGATTACGTCACTGTACTCTTTTCCCTTCTTATGGTTTTTATCCCATAGGGTTTTTCCATATCAAGGTTTTAACGAGGCAGTACGGATCTAAAGTCAATAACGCAACGCAGCATCACGTCAGCGCAGCATCGCGACAGCATCGGCATCGCGTCGGCATCACATAGTTATTATTAATTGCTCTTGAGCTCCTCTTTTATACATGAAGTTCGCCGAGATTAAATTGCATTTATCTCGCCAAACTGGGGGGGACTTATTGTTAGAGCAGAAATTAGCACAATTTCCTGAGCCCGTCACAATTAATAATACTATGTAAGCCCGGCCCGCTTCCACTTCCACCTCCTCAAAGAAAAGGAAGTACTTGGAGAGAAAGACTACATCCAAGAAGACACCGATCTCGTCATTATATACGAAATCGAGCGGTCTCGTCATCACACGAGCCCGAGAAGACACCGATCTCGTCATCATATACGAAATCGAGCGGTCTCGTCATCACACGAGCCCGAGAAGACACCGATATCTTCATCATATACGAGATCGAGCGGTCTCATCATCACACGAGCCCGATAAAATCAATCTCGTCGAAGCTCGAATCCGAGAAAAATCGTCACAGCAATCTATTCTCCTTGACGAGACAAAAAAGTCATCTCGTCAAGTCCGAGAGAAATTATCAAAAGCATATTCTATTTGCGGACAAGATTACGTCACTGTACTCTTTTCCCTTCTTATGGTTTTTATCCCATAGGGTTTTTCCATATCAAGGTTTTAACGAGGCAGTACGGATCTAAAGTCAATAACGCAACGCAGCATCACGTCAGCGCAGCATCGCGACAGCATCGGAATCGCGTCGGCATCACATAGTTATTATTAATTGCTCTTGAGCTCCTCTTTTATACATGAAGTTCGCCGAGATTAAATTGCATTTATCTCGCCAAACTGGGGGGGACTTATTGTTAGAGCAGAAATTAGCACAATTTCCTTGAGCCCGTCACAATTAATAATACTATGTAAGCCCGGTCCGCTTCCACTTGCACCTCCTCAAAGAAAAGGAAGTACTTGGAGAGAAGACTACATTCAAGAAAAATAGAAGGAGATCAACGCCAAAGAAGAATATTTCCAAAAGAAATATGGAAGAATATCTTGAGGAAGCCAACCTCCTCTCCATATAAATAGAAGACCCCCTATTCTTTGAAGACCATCCACAATCATTCAGAATCATTCATAATCACCCATAATCACTGAGAGCAAAGAGGCAAAACCCTAGTTATAATTCGTCCTTTGTTCTCAGCTTCTCTATTCTTTTCGTATTCGTCTCGTCAAGTCTTATCGTCGAGACGAATCACCCCTTGTATCATCTTTGTTTTTTGTTGATTTAATAAAGAGTCTCTCCTAAACCTCACTTCTCTTATCTTACTATTATTGTGTGATTTTGAGATTCAACACTTTTGTCCTCTTCTGTCCTCATAAGCCCATTGTTAAGAAGAAACCCAGCTAAATGAACCGATATCGAATTCCCCCATTAAACCGGGATCACCAAGACTTGCATGATGGTTCAGCGTAATAGTCCATTATGGAGTGCAAGAGTGAATAATAACTTGTTCTTGAATAAGTTCATGGAAATAAATGTGTGAGAGAGAAGGGCCATTGTACATGTTAGATCCAAAACTTGTATCGGTCCATCACTGTAGATGTTAGACCATCGATTTTTTTTTCTTTGGATCCAGCGGAAGCATTTGATCATCCTCGGATTAACATCTTCCAAGTATTATAATCAAGACAAGGTATCCACACTTGTGTTACCATTTTACGACACGAACACAAACAAACTCGACACTATTTAATATGTCGACCCCACGTTTATGTATTTCTTTTACACACAAGAATGAATGATTAGAAGTTTAGTACCACCACATGAATTTTATTTGAAACATATGTAATGACTTTCGAGGTCTTTGCGCATACCTAACCACACGGTTCATGAATCGACACCTCATTTCATATCATACCTAGAAAGGAAATCGACAAAATTATTAGCAACCGATGAATCAATTATATATGATTATATATACATATATATAAGTTGCCCAAAAAAAAAAAAAAAACATATATATAAAAAAATTTAAAAAGAAAATATATGGTTATATATTATGATAAAAAATTTAGTATATATAATGTAGGGAATGCAAAAATTTACATAACGTAGAAATAGAATGGGTCCATCCACAGGCCATGCACCCATGTGCTCATCATTCAGCGGAAGGTACGGACGAATTTCGTTTGATTCTTGCTCTGGTTTATTATATACATCTTTCGTTTTCTAATATTTAGTTTTTTTATGAAAAAAGGAATGTGCTGGTGGGTTCATGGTAACTACAGACTCATTAGTAATTTACGAGTGGCTGCATAAGTATACTAAAAGCGGTAGTATTCTTTTAAAAGCATTCCTTTTGGCATAATTTTTATTTTATTTTTAGAACATTTTCCAAGGTTAGTCAAATTGTGTTAGCTCAAAGATATTGTTTGTTTTTCTAACAAAACTTAGCATGCCACTAGCTATTTAGATTGCTCTGAGCTTTTAACTACTGAAAAAGCGTATCTCAGAAATTGGATTTCGGCGTCTCGGTCTACGAAGTTTGTTTCATATTAAGGCATATCATCATCATTCGTTTCATTTTGGTGAAACCATCTGAGTTGCTTCCAAATGTAAATTTAAAATTTTACCAAAAACATTCTACATTTTGATATTTTTCATGGATGGAACACTCTAATGAGTGAAATATTTGTCAATTAGGGCCACTAGAGAGAAAACAACAATGGACCCAAGGAAAGAAGGATTAGTCAGATAAGATTAGGCCTACACTCCTTGAAAGCGATAACCTTAACATTTAATCTTCTTCTATGTATTCAAAGATCCAAAACAGTAACATGACATTCTCCAACTTCTGAGCTACAAATATTAAATCTCTCGTATTCGTGACACCAACACACTGTCCCCTCCTCACCACTTTAGTCACGTCGATGAAATTTCATGGACCCAATAACATCCACATTATATGTATTACCTTAGAATATCTCAATTATTGTTTCAACATGTGAATTTCTCCGTCATGAATATGTTTCAGCCTTCATGATAACTTTTTATGTTAATACCTCGTTCCAAATCCCAATAAAAGTATCTATATAGATACATACTGGAAACTATATGGTTCAGATTTGGAAACAGAGATGTATATATGTAGATACATGTAAGCATAATCAATTATTCATATAAAGAAACTTGAGGAAGTAGTATAACTACCAAATGTTATACTTGGTTTGATTTACATTTTTTCAGTTTAAATTTAAATTTATAAGGTTGAACGAGAACGTTTTAGTTGGACTGAATTAGAAACCCGGGGTTTTCAAATATATCCAAAATTGATGAGCTAAGCAAAGGATAATATTACTCTATATAAGGTTTGTGAACGAGTAGAAAGGAATCAAAATTTTGATATAGCGATGAAGAGAGAAGGAGGATAGATTTCGTAGGAAGTGGACCACATTCTCAGTTGGTACATGCCACCAAATGGTCCCTCGAACTTCCATAACTAAATATTTTATAGTTCAAATCATTTTAATTGTTTCTTCTTACTAAAATTCATCTTGGAAAAGGTTGTGAGTTCAGACAAAAAACAAATCCAAATATTGTTAATACCTTGTTTGTTTAGCATCTAGCCTTTGAATCACGCTCTATCGACTTGAACATTATGAACCTGAATGAATTAAGGATCTATTGCGACTTAGTTTTCGAAGGTTGTAAGAAATATGAGTCAAGATTTATCAATTTGTCCTCATGAACCTAAACCTATGAATCTATCACGACTTGACCTTCCATAGATAGTAAAACAAAAACAAAAACAAAACAAAACAAAACAGAACGAGAAAATAGAGGAAACCACTTGGATACAATCTATATATAATTTTTTTGTATGGTTTAAAGTCTAAAAGTATAAGTACATAATGTTAAAACTTCTGATTTATGGACCAAATTATTAATAGTACAATGATTAGCTAAGAGCAATGAATATTGATGCTTTTATTATATAAAGAAAATGTATTTGTTCAAATAAAACGCCTACGAAGCATCCATGAAGACCATGGCATAAAAAGAATTTAGAAGACAGCTATCAGTCATTAATTATCTTCATTTTTAAATCCACGTGATTTGTCTAATATCCCTGGTTATAATTCTATAATTAATATTGAAGCTTCGATGTACTTCTATAATACATCATTTGTCCATTTAGATGGTTCTTTTAAGTATAGATATGATAATGATTTTGATATCTCTCCTCCCGTGTCGCAATCTCTTCACTGGCGACGCGTGAGAGGCACGTGAGTGAAAGGTACGTGCAAAATGGAATCGGGAGAGACTCACATGGCATTTGCCTTCTACTATAAAATATAAACTCACTGATATGATCTATGATTCTTACACTTTAATCATAAATTTCATTTATGTGATCTACTGCGTTATACAGAAAAAAATACATTCAAAATTCAAATATACTATTTTTATGATACAATCATTCTTCTTAGAATTAAACTATCTATTTTTAAATTTAACATTTTACCACACAAAAAAAATATCTATTAAGAATCGTCGGATATGAATTATTGACGTATAGTACAGATATGCGTAATGTGTGTGTGTGTGTGTGTGTGTGTGTGTGTGTGTGTGTGTGTGTACACAAAAGATGTTTCCTATTCGGGGAAGAGGCGTGTAATAACAAATAGTTTTAGATACAAAATAATTGCAAACTTTGGAATATTGTCTGATCTTACAAAATTTCTTAAAATCGATTTCATATCTTTTGTTTGTTGGTCAGTTAGTTGGTTGATTCGTTGGTTTAATTTGGTTGTTGAGTTTTTCGTTTTCGATCATCTCTGTCTCTTTTATTTCCATGTAAATCATTGTCTTGTGTTTGAAGTCTAAAGTTGATATTGCACTGAACTGTTTTCGGTTTTGGTTTTCGGTTTTGGTTTTTAATTTAGCTAGTATTTCTTGTGATCTTATGATCATAGCTTTGTAATGGAAATTCTTTATAAAAAAAAAAAAAAAAAAAAACAACAACAACAATTCGCTACATTGGCAATTTTAAATTTGTCTGTAAACTTTTGAAGAAAACAAATGAAAAGAATATTGATGCTCACTTCTCAAAACATGAATTCAATATGAAAGTAAATAATAATTATGTATGGACCAAAAATTTAATGTGACCTAATCTTTTGTCTTTCGTTAAAACTAACGATTACGTTTCTTTGCCACGTGCAATATATATTTGTAGTCCCCTAGTACGGAAGCTTCAATTATCTTTTTTGAAACTGCGATCATCGACACTTAGCTAACTTTCAAAATATTAATAAAATATACTCCTTCCGTTTCAAATTAGTTGTCGTTTTGGAAAAATGTATCTGCAATTATTTGGATGTATTTGTAATGCAAAACACGTTCAGATACATCCAAATATTTGCAGATACATTTTGCCAAAACGACAACTAATTTGAAACGGAGGAAGTATTTATATTCGTCTGTTTGTTCATCGATAATGTCGCACAGTGAACGGTGTTTGGCGAATTTTAAACAATACATTAAAAGTTTCAGTCGGATTCTTCTAATATTTTTTTTTTCCAAAAGGATTCAAACCCAACAATTTTTGTGATATAAAATTGTAGTAACCTGCGCCTTAGACGAAATAAAGTAATAAACAAATTTATAAACTATTTTCTACATGATTTTGCAATGAAATTAACATAATGGGTTATATATGTTGATAAACTTGGAAGAGAGTATAGTACTAATGTACTATAGAGAATCACAGTGATGAACTAAAACTTTTAGCATCATTTCAAAAAGTTCAAAATACTTTTTTGTTAATAAGTTTAAAGATTGAAAGCTCTGAGAAAGGAAAACGAAAACAAGGAAGTATATTTTATTATAATAAATACGAAAACAGCTTAACCGGGAAAAGGTACTGAATTATATTGAATGAACCCCAACCAAACAACAGTAAATTTTCGAAGCCATTAATTTAATACAACAACCCAAGAAAACATAAATTCAATAAATAATAAAGTATATAGACGTTAAAATAAGTAAAGAAATAGACCCCACCAATCCTCTCTGTTCACCCCCTTCAAACCCTTAAAATCTTCCCTCCCTCACTCCATTAACATTTACTCCCTCAGTTTCTTAGTTTGAATCCAAATCCCCAAACACACAGACAAATAAAGAAAATTATTTTCTTGTCCTATATTTCTGAAGAACCAGTCCGGGGAAAAAAAACATGAAACTCCCATTTCTAAACAAGAACAACTCTTCATTTTCATGTTCTTCAAATTCGATTTCAAATTCATCATCAACAAATTCTACTTCATGGCCATGGCCTTCTTGTCATCAAAATCCTAAAACCTTATCTTTCAGAGCCACCATCACTTTCACCAACCCTATCCACGACCAAGACAACGACGAGCTCGACGAGATCGACCCACCAGAGATTTCAGAGTCCATAGAGAATGTGATTAAAGGGCTAAGATCATCAGAGAGACTCATCTTCGAAAGCAAAGGAGAATCCAACTCTATACTCGAAGAAGGAACGACTAAGAGAGACCCAGAAGAAGAAGAAGATGAAGAAGAAGAAGGCTTCCAGCTCTTGTCCTTAGATTCTAGCGATCCGTACTCTGACTTTAAGAGATCCATGGAGGAGATGGTTGAGGCACACGCGCTTCACCACGACTGGACAAGCCTAGAGAAGCTTCTCTCCCAGTTCTTGAAAGTCAACCCCAAGACCAGCCATAAATATATTTTCGCCGCCTTCGTCGATCTCCTCGTCAACTTAGCACTACACACGAGTAAACCCATTAACAACAACAATGCCAAAGACGATCGCGTATCGGCCCCACGCGCGGCCACTGCCGCCGGAGAAGCAAGCACTTCTTGCTGTAATAGTTTGAATCTTGGTGAATCTCCGTCGTCTCCTTTGTCATTCTACACGTCCTGTTCTTCGTATTCTTCCTCTGATGAGACTTCCTCGACGTCCGTACGATTCTTGCCGTTGTCTTCGTTGTTAGAGATGGATGAGAAGACTAAAGACATTTTGGTTTAGGCTGCTTTTTTTATTTTTTCTTAATTTGTTTGTTAATTTGATTAAAATTTGTGCAGAATCGTAACATTCACTACCCTAAATATTATATTGGTATATGTATTATGCTCACCTTTTATATTATTTCAATTATGAGGATTTTTTTTTTTTTGGTATGCAGGATGATAGTTCGATCGAACCATTTTATTTGATAAAAAAAACGTAGGCTCTTGATTCGGTTAATTGATCAAAAATTTTGATACATGGTGCATAACGAAATTTGATTATTGACCACTGAGTTTAATTTTGGATACTATGCTGAACATACAACCAATTTATCTAGACAGTATTCTCCTGCAGAATTTTGGCATTATATCGAGTGGAATCAGACTAATAAGTTCAATATCTTGAAGCCCTTTAACCAAAAACAAAAAAAACAATAAATTATTATTAATATACTACTAAAATTTTGTTTGAACGTCGGATAAGCGAGAATGGGAAAACAGTGAACATCTTCGCTTCAACGGCAGGTTGGGCTTTAAAATGAGACATGTGGGACTGTGAGCCTGTGACACAATCCTGCGAAATTGTCTCCGTAATCTTTATTTTACAGTAAACACATTTTAACACTATACTGATCAACATTGGCTGGATTTATGTATGATTTAATTAATCTATGACCTTGTGCTTTTGAAAGATCTTATCTTAGCCGTTTATTTTGAATTTCACTGTCGTTTTATCTATATGGCAGGTTTTTGTTTTCGACTTGGTCATAGTAAATCCAAAAATAATTGTGACTGCAAAAAATACTCAGAAATTGAGAACACTACAAAAGAAAAATTAGATGCTTGTAACTTTACCTGCAGCCTGCATCTGCAATTTTAAAAGAGCCTTGCAGCCATCTGTTTCCTTTTATAAATCTTCCACAAACACACATTTTGTGAAATTTGTTGAACTTGTTGGTGGATGTTGGAACAGACGGTCTAGTTTCAGACTATAATCGTGCAAAAATAAAAAAAGTATCAACACGGTTAGTTACACGAAATGTTTCATAGAATGCAACAATCAAAAGTTTCCTTATTAGTCTAGGTTGATATCCAAGAGTAACAAATAGAGTTTTGTGTTTTGTTTCCTTCTTTAGAAACAAGGAAGGAGTATCTGATTATGTAGTTTAATTATATAACAAACGTGTATGTATACTAATTAGTTGCATTACTTAACGGTTACTGACAACGGTAAGTAAAGACAAAATTATTTTATTGGTTTTCTAAAGTTCCAATGAGAACAAAATAATTGTCAACTTTCTATCTACGAGTCTCGAGATGAATCTTTCTATAACAACGATTAGTAAAATCTCAACGAAGCTTCGAACTTTTGTATCATGAGCCATTTAAATAACATTTCTAATCCTCCATTTTGAATATATATTTTTTTTTCACTTTTCTTGGAATGTTGTGACAGTTTCTCAGCATCTTTTAATCAAAAGAGAAAAAAAAACTGTTTTTCTAGATGAAATATTCATTATTTGATGAATCTCGAAGAAGGGGATAATACACCATCGCATTCACCACCACAAATATAATAAAAAAATCATTAAAAAGGATTAATAGATGTAATTAAACATGAGCACAATAAATGAATGGGGTCCTAAATCTTAAGCCGTGTTTTGCTCTCTTGAAATTCAAAGTTCACATTTATTAGAAAGACCAAATCTCGAGTCAGATATCAACTTGGTGTTTTTCTTAGAGCTCATATTACCAAGCTACAATCCTTGGTGTTCTCTTCTTCTTTTGTACTGAACTTTTATTTTCTTTAACGATTTACCTAACCAATATTTTTCAATTCTATTTAAAATAAATGGATTCATTAACATAAGTGAAACTTCTAGGAAAGTGTAGATACAATCAATGGGTTTGTATTTGTAATCTCCACTCAAAAATTTGTGAGAAATTTTGTATTTGTATTTAGTAGATTAAATGTTAGTACTAACTTAGTAGATACAAACTTAACAAATTTATCTAGTTCAACCTTAAAATGACACTATTTTTATCACTTTCCGTACTAATAAAATTATCCTTTTGCTGAGCATTCTCGCATACCCCTCTGGTATAAAGTAACAGCCCATATTGTTCAAGCCCTTAAATAAGTGTGGGCCGATTTCATTTTGCAGTTGTATACGGTTACAATTTAAAATTGGAGTATACTAACATTTTATAATGTATAATCGAAAGATCCACATCGACATATAATCATCTACAGTGTAAGATCTAGTCCACATTAACAGATAATATATGGAACTCCCCCAAGAGGCCAAGACTAGCACATTTAATCTATAAACTCCAAACCCCAGTTTCTGATTTATAATTTCTCCTCAAGTGCATAATACTCTTGAGACACCTAATCCCGATTTGCTATGGATTGTGAAAAACCATGAAATGAATACATATATAGTCCTTATCTGATAAAGATACAACCTTTAACTTCGTCTTTAAAGAATGAAGATTTACAGGTTAAGATTTAAGAAGTTTTGTGAATTTTGCATTTCAAACCATTAATGGATACGCACGAGAATCTCATATCATTATTGCTCTTTTATTGTTTTTGTTTTTCTACTCACAGATTTCTGAGCTTATAATTATTACTAGTTGCTGCTTAGTCTAATCTAAAATTTACTTCAGTATTAACTACCATATTTACTTTTGGTAGTTGGGTCATATATTTATAGTACCCATTGATATTCAGCTCAGCATTAATATGAATGCGTGTATTTATAGTCATACCATATTATATACATGTATATATGACAAAAACATATGTACAATTAGTATTATATGCATATATATTATGCGTATGTCTCAGCGATTGTACTTACACGTCTAGTTGGATCAAGTGCGGATGGAATAATCATGGAATTACGTATTTATGATTCCATAAATATACTCCCTTTATTTCTTATTGATAAATTTTCTAGTTTTTTACACATTAAGAAAATGTTAGATTTTGTAATAACACAACTTTCTATAATTTTAAACCAATAGAAATCTAACAAATACAATTAATGTTTTTTTAAAACTGAAAAAGTGCATCAAAAAGCTAGAAGATTTATTTTTGTGAAACAACAAATAATGTCTAGAAAATTCATTTAAAAAAAAAGAGGGAGTATTAGTTTATGGGATTTTGGTTTTGGGACTTGTGTGAGTGTGATGGTAAACTAGTGATTCTATAACAGAATCAAACCACCTGGTTAGATCGGTATAATTCCCATTTTTAAGAATATATGGGTTTGGTCCGTTTGGTTTTACTCCACAAACTAATATACTGTATATGATTGAAATTAATTCATGAACATACTAGTCGGTTAGTTGTGATCCGTATACACAGTCTAATCCGTATAACCAAATAAAAATTGTGCTCTGTGATTACCCCAAAAAAAAAGAGTTTCCATTCTGAATGCTGAGAACTTTTCATTTTTGTGTACCAAGTACCAATTGGTACCACTACCACCCACCAGGTGATTCAGACGTACAAAGCGGCTTTTCAAATAAAAGACGAAAAAAACTAAGTTCGATATTTGTGTTGTAATTTATAATATATTGGCCAGTGAGCAAAAACGAAACAGATTATTATTAAAAAGATCATCCGAAACAACCACAATCCCTAAGGTATACTATCAAATTTGGCAAACCCAAATATCGTTAGAATATGTCATTAGCAACGACCAATAGCATTTGTATTACTATGTTTACTATGGCGATTACAGTTTAAATTTTTCCATAACAATTGGACATAGTTTGTTTGAATCGTGTACAAATGAAAGATATCTTAGTTTATCGCAACTTGAAATTAGAGACAGATATTTGCACAAGGTTTAAGTGATATTGGAGCATCAAACAGTATTCGATGTTTTTTTTTCATACTTCAAATTTCATTTACATAATTTCGTCTTGGATTTGCTCAACAATATTTATTCGTAACACACATAAAACTTTGGGTTTTATCAATGAATAACAATAAAAAAACACTAAATTAACTATATAGCCATATGTTTTGATAGACTATTATATTCTGTATATAAAGTATAATATGACGAAATTGTCCCTCAAACAAAAAGAAACAAATTTTTTTTCAGGCTTTTTTTTTCCTTCTTTCTCCTTTTCTCTCCCTCACGATCCTCCATCTTTCAATTCCTTTTCGTCGATTTTTCTTCCTCCCCTTTAATTGAATTTCATATAGTGTTTAGGGTTTGGGACTATAAGGTTTGGATTTACAGATTTGTGTTTAGGGTTTATTGTTTAGTTATTTGGGTTTATTGTTTAGTGATTTCAGTAATTAAGAAGGTGAATCAAAACATGGAAATGACGATGATAACTTCCAGATCCCTATTTCCTCTTATCTTTTAATTTGCAATCTCCTTCAACCAATTTAAATTAATTAGCTTCATCATTGCCGGCCAACAAGAAGCTCCGATTCCTGAAACTAATTCTGATCTATATTATGATTTATGAACTAGGAAATTTGTGCCTCGTCTTTCATTGAGACCTTGCTCTGAATTCGGGTTTGGTTTTTAGATCGCAACTTTCGTGCCACGATTTATAACTCCTTTGTAAACTTTACCGAAACCTCTGACTCCGATGACGTTTGACATCAGCTGTCTTAAAAATTGTCGAAGAAAGAGATGAATGGCAAATTGGTCTTTTGATGGCGCGTGTATTCTACTCTCTAATTTTCGTTCTATTATGGATACTTTCTTTATTACTAAATCCAATATGGCTACTTCACCAATTCACCCTAAAACTTTACTCTTTCAGTGTCTCGTATGAAATTAAGCATGTTCCCTAGTTATTGGCTGAGTTTTTCACTAGTTAAAATTTCTTAACGTTACTTTTAACATTTCAATGATGAATCTGAAAATTAGTGGGTCAGTGAAGATTAAATAAACTGGGGACCAATTATAAATCTTACAAAGAAAAATGTAACTTCTTGAAATGACTGTAGAACTAAGTGGGCCAAACTAGACAAAAACTAATAATTACAAATGAATGGATCATATCGGAAAAGTAAGAAGGGTTCGTCCAAAGTATCATCAAGTATCATCATCATGATCATCAATGGAATACGCATAGGAAGAAGTGATGCTGTAAATAAAATTTGTACATTAAAGTGTCTGCCTCACTATTTATTTGTGTAATTAATATTACACTGTCTTTCTAATTATCACGAGTATCAAATCCCAATGCCCTCATTTCTTTTACCGCCCAGAGCCACATGTTCTTTAAATTTCTATGACTGTTGTATTCTAGAAATGCATCGAAGTCATTTATGGGGTGGTAAATTGGTGATAGGATACACTTAACCAATAATATGAGTAATATACTACGAGAATAAAATAAAAACTTTAAACGAGTCCTGATTATATTGTAAACCAAAATATATATATATATATATTTTTTTTTTATAAAAATAAACGACTTAGAACAACGGTTGTTTTATCTAACTTTTGTCTATATGATGTTGCCATGTTTCCAAAGTAGAGCATATAGTCCGAAATTGGCAATAAAGAGGTATATTACTTAGGCTGATATACAATATATGATCTCAGAGATTAGTACTCAAGATTTTAGCACATGATATATATCGCCAAACTCTTGATATGAAACTAGCAAAGCAAGACTCAGTGTTTACTCATGCACGAAAATACCTAGCTAAATTTTGGCGATTATATTAAGGGCCAGTCTCTCAATATATATGCGAACACATCATTAGCTAACACGTGAGGTTAAATTACAACATACAGCCAATTATTTAAAGATATGTACACACTTCAAGACATACACTACTAACAGTCGGATTCTAGTCCACAACTCTTCCAATAGCTGATGCCTTGCATATCGGATTCTTGCTCGTTGCAAAGTGTTTGTACTCTAACAAGGCATAACGGCCAACAAACATTAGTTGTTATCTATCGGAGAAAATGAAGTATGCATTGTATCCAGTCCACAAGTGTGCATGCAAGGTTCGTATCCGATTCTTTTTCTTTTTTATTGACAACATTTTTATTTATGGGGTTATAAAAAATACTATTTTTTTGCCTATTTCGTACATTTTCTGTCTTTGGCCATATCTTGCGTGATGCATTGTGTACAATATGTATGTATCTTTTTGTTGCAAAAATCTGAAATTTCCGCATATCCGTACTTTAATGATAATAAATAAATAAAAAGATTTCACGTGGACTTGTTTTCGGAACCTTCACGTCATCATCATAATGAGAGTCACGAGTGGGCACAAGATCTTTGAAATATCTTTTCTTATCGATTTTGGCCGATTACAACTACAAAATCAACATTGAAACATGTAGTAATATAGCGGCCGCAGCCAGAAGATTGTTGCGATAATAGCCAGAAGATTGCTGCGAAAAAAGCCAGAAGCTTCTTGCGATAATACAGTATGTGGCGTAGTTTTAAGACATCATTACTCAAGTTTCGTCACATGACGATTACAGTCGCACAACTACTTTTTAGTTGTATAATACTAGTAAATATATAGTAGATACAATATACTTTTCTCTATGTTACAAGTATCTTGTAGGATAAATTGACGAACACAAATATGCATTACTATAACTGCATATGTGCAACAATTGATAAATGTATATAGTTGTAATATCCGAAGACTATGTGCATTTCTAACAATATCCGAGGAAGATTTTATCATTTATATAGTGAAAGGTCATTTTACATAAACATTCTACCATTCATGTTGTCGTTACACTTAGTTCAAAGACAGAAAAGAAAACCCAAAGCTAATACGAGAAGTTAAAAAGCACAAACCCAATAATATATTGACACGTCGGTAGTAGGTGAAACGGATAGTCAACGTGTCAATACATTATTGGTGACGTGGCATGATTCGTAGTTAAAAAGAGTTGCATTACCCCTAACTACCAAACGGAGTTACATCGATCGGTGGTAGGGATTATGGTAATCACGTGAGGCACGTGATGGCCCGTGGCTACGGACGAGTGGAGACTCTTGGTGGCCGCCACGGCGTTTGACGGCGGCGGAGAAAACTCCATCCCATATCTCGGAGAAAGCGCGGATGATGATGCCGTGGTGGTAAGGCTCGTTGAGAGAGAGGAAGCAGTGGAGAAGCTCTCTGAGGTCGTCTTTGGAGTAAATCTCGTTCTCGAGAATCATCTGAAGCATCGACTGACGGAAATCGAGGTAAGGGTCGTCAGAGTCTTTCTCGACGGCGACGGCGGCGGTGGAGGGTGTGGCGGAGGAGGAGGAGGTGTAGTCAGAGAACCAGTTGTTAGTGGAGGGAATGGCGGAGGAGGAGGAGGAGGCCGTGGAGTGGCAGTGTCCGTAATTAGAGGAGTGGAGACGGGGCTTTTTGGGGGAACGGTTGAAAAGGGAAGACAAGCTTGGGAACTTACAGTTGCTGCATCCCATGTCTACGACAGAGACTGCCTTAAGGACCATCTTCTTCTTCTTGCTTTTGCCCGCCATTGTTGTCACTTTGTGGTTCTGTCTCTGACTGCAAAGAGGAAATATGTTTTAGAGAGAGAGAGTGAGTGAGTGAGTGAGGGAAAGAGAGTCTACTTGGATTGGTATTAAAGGGTGCATGTGGGGTCTGAAATGGATTAATGAGAAGTAAACTCTTAGCAATAATATTTAATTTGATGTTCAAAACCAATTTGTATTTTTTTAGACAAAATTTGTGATTATACGTCTATATGCACGACAGCATGCGCATTAATTTGACATAGACTTGCTCGATCTAGGGAAGATTATGTAGCACTGTTTGTGTGAGCTAATTTACGGTGTCCAATATTTGATAACTTTTATTCAGTGAGTAGAAAATATGATTTTTTCTTCTTTTGTAAAGTCAAAGATTAGTACGTCTTTGGTGGTATGAGCGAGATACAGTTATATAAAAACACTAGTAATCATATGTACTTTCTTCGTTTCACATAAAAAGATATCGGTTTAAACAAATTTCTTTTTAATTTTTAAAACTGTTGTTCTGTAATTCCAACGAAAATTGATAAAATATCTCTATTACTTGAAACTAGAAAATATAACACAAGTACAAAGTCAACTTGTTTTTATTTTTCTTTGTACAACCAAGAGCCAACTTGTTTTGTATGGACATATATATTCAACTTGTTTCCTAATCTGGATGATTTTTTTTTTTTAATTTATATTGAAATGGCATGTAAGGAAATTCGTTTTGGGTGAAACTTTCGACTAGAGGAGAGTGATAGGAAACAAAGTATTAACCAAATTCGGTGTATAAACAAAAAATTTAGAACTAAAGTATAAAGTAAAAACAAATAGATCATTTGCAAATGTTCAAAGAACAGCATTCCCTAGAGCCTAGATATACAATTTTTTTTTTGGTGCCTAGATATACAATTTGATTACATACTTGCATGGATTATTCGAAATAAAACTTGATCCGCATTGTTTTTTTTTTTTTTTTTTTTTTTTTTTTTTTTTTTTTTCCAAGTATTAGAATTAGTCGAATTAGGAATGGATTTGTACCGTGCCTTTATAAGCTTGGTAAATCGCCTTTTGGTGAACCCACATAACCTGCCATTTAGAAGGATTTAAGCCCAAAGGCCTTCATATTGCAGCCGAACCAAATATTTGACTCAAAATGAAACAAAAGTTTCAAGATGCAAGCTCTATTCCATCATAAGATAGTTATCTCAGACCAAGACATCCATCTTGTTAACTTGTTTACTGTAAATGACTGAATCCAAACATGTCTTGCTGAATACTAATAAAGGAGCTGCACTAGAAATTGGATGTAAACTGAAAACTATTCGCGTTCAACTTAAAACTTTTGATAAATTAACCATTTCTCTAGTGGTGTAAAAACTTCTGATACATGCATATTTTTGGTATTGAATTAGTTGTAAATTTGTAATCGCTGATGTAATAATCACTTCTCATCAAATATGTTATCCCCATTGAAGCATTTGGCCCATAGACTTTTGCCATGTTGACTAGGTTTTCTCTGAAATAAAAACTAAAAGAAGACTATGATTGCTTCAAATTATCCTTCGGATAAGGATATTTAGATGGAAACCAGTCAAAAGTTAAATCTGATTAATGAAGGACTATATTTTTAAAATTCATATGAAGCTTCGGATAATGTTTAATCACGAGAATATAACGGCCAAACGGTAAACCCGTTCCTCGTACCCCCCAAAATTCAAGTAGCGTCTGTGGCAAGAAATTTTAAAACCGTTTACTTTTTTTTTCTTTCAATTAGTTTATTTAATTTACGTTTATAGAAAAAACAAATTAAACCTCTAATTATTCCAATTATAGAACTCACGCGTCTTCATAATCATCGATCTCATATATATAACCATCTTCCTTTTTTCCTCTCTTTGAGATTCAAAGTTTTTGTTGTTTTCTTTTGCTTAAACCGGAGAGACACCCTCTCCTTTAATTTAGGTTTGTTTATAAATCATCCATTTTAAAATTCTATTTTTAATATACAAAATTTATAACCAATCAACTTAGTTTTGGCCTCATTTGCAGTTTTTATCCTTCTGGGTTCCTTGGAGACAAAGAAACACAATTCCGATCCATTCATTCTTCTTCATACGTTGAGAATCCTTACGAGGACGAGATCTTCCTAACGTCTTTGATCTTCTTCAATAGGTTCGTTCACATTTGATATGCGGTATACTATTTTTCCGAATAGTTATATGAATGTTGAATAGTGTTTTTTGTTTGTCATGAAATCGAAGCAGGAAATAATTTCTGTTTTGGTCGAAGATGTTGGGAGATTTCATCATCAGACTCCTTGTGTATGTCATGCGTAACCAATTCCTTTTTATTAATTTTTATATCATAATTTCCATTTGAGTAATCATAGTTTGTTGTATTATACATAATACATATATAGAACAATGTATGTTTATATAATTAAAATGGTGATGATAGCAGATTACTATTAGGGTACACATACCCAGCATTCGAATGCTTTAAAACGGTGGAGAAGAACAAAGTTGACATCGAGGAACTCAGATTTTGGTGCCAGTACTGGTATTTATAAATTTCATCCTCTATATATATATATATATATTTTTATCTAGTCGTATAATCATATATCAATTACGAGTAATATATGTAAATTTGTTGTAGTGGGGAAAGTTATTTTGTTCGGCGAAAGTTAGATTTGTTTTGGTTTTTGGCTTCTTAGAAGACAACATTAACAAGTTAAGGTTGATGTTGTCTATTGCAACATCATTTTAATTACAACTAATATTTTCTACAAGTCTTTGGTTTCGAATTTTATTATATTGGGAATTAGTGGTACATCATAAACAAAAATAAAAAGAATTAGTAATGGTACAGTTCTGTTAGGTTATTTTATTAAGATCATAGTATATGTGACGCACGTTTAGTGTCATTTTCTAGGGAAGATGATAATTTTATTAAACTTTTGTATTTGAATAATCAGGATACTGTTGGCGCTAATTTCATCATTTGAGAGGGTTGGCGATATATTTATATCATGGTAAGCAAGATCCATTAATAGTTAATCATCTGTTTCTTTTAACATTTAACATTTTTAATTACATTAAAATAGTGGATGAAAGCAATTATTATTTGCAGGTTACCGTTGTACGGAGAAATGAAAGTGGTCTTCTTCGTATATCTCTGGTACCCTAAAACAAAGGTATCTGACATTTGCTTCTTCTTTTTATAAATAACCTCTTGCACATGTAACACCGAAATTTAAAAATATAGATAATGCTTAATAAATGGCTATCTACTATACTAATAAGAACTTTTAACAAACAAAAAAAATGAAGGGAACAAGACATGTGTACGAGACATTGTTGAAGCCATACATAGCTCAACATGAGACAGAGATTGACAGAAAGATTATGGAGTTGCGAGCTCGAGCTTGGGATTTCTTCATCTTCTACTTCCACAATATTGCTCAGGTCCTTTTCTCCTTCCCATTTGTATTATTTTTCAAATGACATTATATATTTATAACACCAAGACTAATAATTTAATATATTTATGCACAGGCCGGTCAATCCACCTTGATCCAGGCTTTCCAATCGTTACTCGCTCAATCGGTCCGGTTCTCTGCCGGAGCTGCTAACCAACCGGTACCAACACATTACTTTAACGTAACATTTGTATAATTTAGTTTTGTCGTGATCTACTACAACTACAAACCTATATACTACAAGCCATGCTCGTATATCGTTGTCCATGACTAACATTTTTTATATTACTGAAGCCGATGGAACGGAACGTTAACGCGAGAGCGCAGTCACCAGAGGAGATGGAAACTGAACCGCAGTCACCGCGGGCTCCAAGACCGCTGAATAAATCGCTATCTGCGTTAAAATCGTTTGAGAAGCAAACGAGCAGAGGGAGGAAATGGCCCCCACCGACACCACCACCAACACCAGGCCGAGACTCAGCCGGAACATTCAACGGAGAAGAAGGAGTCAACATTCCCGATACACTCCCGGGATCACCACTCACCGATGCTCGAGCCAAGCTTCGTCGCTCTACCTCCAGGCCTCACACCGCAGCATAGTAACGTACATAAACGTGTCTCTCGATCTTATAACCTTTTCTAATTTGTTTAAATGATATATAGTAGGTGAAGAAAAAATGAAGTGAAAGTTTTGAAAACGTTTGAAAATCAAAACAAGATTGATTCATTTTTTTCGTTTGTTTTTGTAAATTGAAAGCAGAATTATTAACACAGCGAGTATATTTGTGTGTTTGTTATCACTTGATCTTGCGGATAGGATTTTCAATCTGGATATCAGAGATCATTTGTTGATTAGAACGATGCATTTGAATGGTCAAAAATATTATAAAATTAAAATAGTGTACCAATGCAGCCGATCAAGTACAAAACTCGCTTACACTTACAAAAGTTTTTCTCTAAACCGGTGCTTCTCTACAACATCACTCTAGCAATAATTTAATGGTACATTGTATGGAACGTACCTGCCATTTGGTTCATACACGTTCTTCTGTATTTTGCTCCTTCCATGGATTTTGATTGGCGCACACTAAACTAAGAGACATTTTGGGATCAGAAAAGTTTGAGACGTTGTGTTTGGTCTCTCCTTGCATCATCTCGGGGTTGAGTCAACAGAGTTTGGTAATATTTCACCCATTACCGGTGGTGGAGTAGTCACATCGGCGATTCCATAATCCCAATCGATACCAGCTTTTGCTACAGTTAAGGATTACGTATTTGACGGCAGATACATTGAACAAATCTATAAGAGAGAAACAATTTGATTTGCCAAAAGGATACAGTCGCTTTTCCAAATATCCGTCATGCTAATTTCCGCATTCGATAGGAGCCAGTAATCCGTGTCATCATTCTGCAAAATAAAAAGAAGACCAATATCAAACTACGTTTTTGGAGAGTCATGTTAAAGTTTTTTTTCTTCTGATTTTAGATTTGTTTATAGCATCTTTCTAATTATTGGTCCTCCGTTCTATGAGTGCATCTCAAAAGAAGCAAAGAATATGGCTTACTTCGACGTCAGAGGGAGTAATCTTAAGCATTCCTCCTACCTGCTCCTGCAAATAATTAAGGTCAGAGGCATCGCCAGGTTGATGATCATGAGACACGTGAAGCTCTATTGCAGTTTCTGTGTTTTCAACAGCTACGGCTTCCATGTGATGGTTTTCTGATGATCCTGAGCAAGATGCAATAGGCAAGCTTGCTGGTGGAACACTCCCGTTTGTGTCTTCAAACTTCCCTTCAAATTCGCTGAACATATCAAGTGTCAAAGTTAAAGGCATGTGAGCAGGAAAGTGATCTGAGTTTAATTGAAAGAAAGGATATGTCTTACAAAGTTTCTATTATTCATGTTAACAGCTACTCTATGAGGAATGTTTCTATTATTTTCATGTTTAAAATATAAACGTTTTTTACATATGAGAAACGAGAGGCAAAGGCATACGTACCTGACGAGGTATACGTCAATAGGTCCCATTGTACTTCTAAGAATGATCCTGTATCTCCTTTGTGGGTGGTCAACAGCCTGTCATGTAGATAAGAAACATATTATCATAAGATTTTGGCATCTAATGATGAATAGCAGTTGTTTTTCCAAAGTCATTGAAAGAGAGACTAACTTCATCTGGATCAGGGACTTCCAAAGTTGTGCCATGAGGAGCTTTGACGGCAATCAGAGTCTGGTTCTGCGAGACCAGTAAAGAGAGAAAGAGAGAGAGAGAGAGAGAGTTACGATATAAGTAAACAAGAAAGTCTTGGGAATCGACATACGTATAATCAATTGATAATGATAGACAGACCTGGAAACCCGGTAAACTCTTGATGTCTTCTTCAGTTACAAAAAGCCATCTGAACAATATGAACGGATTGGTCAAGTGTCCATCATAAGAATAGCACCATCTCAATCTCATTGCAAAAACAAACTAGTCCTACAAAACGATAGATAGATGGAGATTTTTACTTCTGATTCTTTTCATTTTCGCTCAGATCTCTCAGTCTTTCCTCCGTTTCTCTGAAAACATATATTAAACGTCAGCATTGGTTGAGTAGATGAATCACAATAACCCAAAATCCTCTAAAGGCATGCTATGAGACCTGATTTGGTTATCTAGCGCTTGCTCCTCGAGGGAAAGGTTTTGAATTTCTGCCTGCAAGACAGAGACGTCACCGTCCATATCACCAGGCCTCAAAGCATCAACTCCCCTGGTCAAGTTTATTGATCCACAAGTGAGTTTACATGTATTTAAGTGATTCAAGGAGTATATCTTAAATAAGCAGACATGGTTCGAAATACATAAGCATATCATATCATATCATATCATAAGAAATCCTCACTTCCAAAGTATTCGGTTCTTCAAAGGCTTTTCAATGAGATCTATCCCCTCCAAAACGTTTGTAATATCATATATACGCCGTTTCTGCACCTCCAATGTTTCTGCAGCTTTGTTTAGATCCAGCATTCCATCTTTGGCTTGTTTAATTAGATTGACGAACTTCTTTGTAAGGAGACCTGAAAAGCTCTATGTCAGCGTCTTCTTATCGAATGTTAGAGATATGTATATGAACAGTTGTTAGTTTACCTAAAGAACTGTCATAGCGGCAACTTCCTGAAGGAGTAAGTGTGACAGGAGAGCCTGCAAAGTTTACCATGAAAAGAATCAGCTCTTTTGAGCTGCTTGTTGCTCCAGACATGAAAGACAGTAAAGAACTCAAAGGATAAGAACTTCATGCAGGTAAACAAAATCAAGAACTCTTTTTACCGGCATTTGAGATGGGGGTTTGGGGAATTGACTTGTTTCCTTTGGCCTTTGACTTGATGTTGACTCTGCCTCCTTTTGCTGAGACTGGAGTTTGACAGGGACTGTTGGGTATGCTATTGAAACCAGAACTCGAGAATCCATTGTTAGATGGAGCAGGTACCACGTCCATTGTTGTCTTTCTCTTCCGTGACTGCAAATAACCTAGGTGTTATTAACTTGAAAGAAGTTTGTCTATCCCCAAAACCAGTAAGCACAAAAGGCAAAGAGATAATCATCCAAAACGTTTCAAAGAATATACACACCATTCTCTATATTACTCACCAGAAACTTTAACATCAATATCTACTTGAAACATTATACATGAAAATGATGTTAAGCTTCCTGCGTCACTACTTTGATACCAATTAGCTTATGCTCAACACTATGTGAAGAAGCAACTTGAAAGAAGAGTTGGATAAGTATGAAATGTTGGCTAAACTCAAAACAACAGTGGCTAATTCACTCACTACTGAGGAAGGAGAGCAGCAACTGAGTGTAATTTCACACACAATTCAACACCCAGCTTAAAAATTGCACAATTAAAACGCCGATGGCCTATAAACTGGAGAAATGGATGCTTAATTTTAGGATTCGCGTCAATTTGGTGTAATTTGAAACGCACTGTCAGACGAATTCTGCACAAAATGTACCATCGAGAAGCTAAAATGGAGTTAAAAATTGACATGACTCCACGCTAATCTGACGCTTAAAAGCATTTACAGGCAACAGGTAGCGGAAATGTATCGAGGGAAATCCCAAAACCGTCCTCGAATTTCTAACCAATCGCGCTAGTAAAATCCAAAATCGAGCAATCAAAAGCACTCAAAACCGAGGCAAACTCACAGGAGATCTAACAACGACGGCGTCCTCCTCCCGATCTACGACTCCGCAGCCGTTAACGAGGCTTCTATCGTTGTTACTGAGGGAATATGGGGTAAATCGGTGGTAGTCATCCGAGGGATGAAACGGCGGTTTAGTTGAGGCGAACGCTAAGTGTCGACGTATTGGGGGTACTACAGGAACAGATGCTACCGGAGCCGAAGATGACGGCGGATGTTGCGGTGGCGGCGGCGGCTGAGAAAGCCCCGGAGAAGATCGTACGCCGCCGGACATGGATCGTTGTAAAGCGGAGTCGGATGGGAATATTCCGACGGCGAGGAGGGAAACGGCGATTGGAGAAGAGTGAAGGAAAACAAGGGTTTTAGTGAGAGAGAGAGAGAGGGCTAGAGAGAGAGAGGAGGAAGACGGGAAAAAGGAGAGAGCAGAAAACGAGGGAAGGAGGGAATTTTATGTTGGGATAGATGTGGAGGGAAGCCTACAGAAAAAAAAAAGAAAAAAAAATAAAAGCCTTCTAATTTTTGTTTCTATTTGTGCCCCCGTATATTTATATAAATCTAGATTGACCCCACTTACTTTACGTAAATCGCTTTTTTGGCTCCTTAAAGTGTATTAGTAACGGGATCATTGAAACTTTTTGTTAAGGGGGTGAAGCAAGAACTATACTTTGAATCTGATTGATTTTGAATCTAGTTTTTTTTTTTTAAAAGGTAGTTGGTAATCAGATTTCTGCACGAGATTGAAGATAGAGTTTGTTTATAGTACATGTGCCTGCTGTTTCCGTTATGCGTAGTACTATTATAAAACAACCCACTGAATTTTGAAAATTTTCAAGTTTTTTAATATTGTTTTCTGTTGAATTGATTATTAGTTGTTGTATGGCGGTGGAAAATGCTACAGAAGCGTAGTACAGATGTGTTGATTATTTTGTTACTTGAAAAGAGTTTTCATAATCCAATTTCACTATTTGAAGAAGTATTTGAAGAAGTAATAGTGAAATTGGATAATGAAATGTAAACGTCATGTTTGTACTTTGTAGTTTGTACCTTCCGGTTTCGTGTTTGGGCCGAGATAGTGTACATTAAAGCCCAAATCTAGTGACCTCTCAAATATCAATCGGAAGCATATGAGAAACAAACATGTAAAACAGAGAGAATCAAGATCATATGCCATAATATTCACGAACCATTGAAGAAGTAAAGCTCTTGATCATCCTGTTAAGACCATCCTCCTGCCTCCAATCGTAGAAACCACATTTTGAAGACTCAAAATCATCATTCCATTTACAGTGGAATCATAATATCATCCATGTATAATGAAACATTCTTTCTCCTATCAAGTTATAATCTCGGACTCTGTCACGACCGGTTTCTTCTTTCGTTTGAGTTCTTCAGAATCATTCATTACAAAATGTACCTAAATCAAAGCAAAACCGCAATCAATTATAAAAAGAGCTCTCAAAGCAAACTCTATAAAGAACAAAAAAAAGCAAGAAAATCAATCTCACCACTTGCTTTTTTCCATGTTCCACTCTTCCTAGCAAAACTCTATAAATCAAGAATCTTTTTTTGTACAGAAGAAAGGCGAGTTCTTCATTGGCGGAGAAGAATCACTACATACCTCCAATGTATCTCGAAATCCAGCTTCGCTCGTCTTCAACATCACCGTCAACGGGAATCTCACCCCTTTCGCCGCACAAGCCTCGTGTCTCGGTTTGATCCGATTCTCCAAGCTGAATGAGAAATACTGAGGGAACTCGAGGATCTCTCTCACGTCTCTCCCCATCTCTCCCATCAGGTAATTCAGCTTGGGATCGTAGTTCTCGGCGATGCTGTAATTGAACAGCTGCGGGAACCTCCGGAACATCACGGTGGCGCTATGCCGAGAGAATCCCAGTTTCTGGAAGTAATCGATTCGCGGGAGGAGTTTGTCTTCGACGCTGCAGGAGAGGAGGTAAGTGTGTTTGTGCGGATCGAGGATTCCGATTCTCTGGAGGAAGTAGAGCGTTGGCCGGAGCTGGGAATCGACGCTGCAAGCGAGGAGACGAGGACGGCGGCGCAAGGCTTGGCGGAGATCGAAGACGGAGTCGACTCCGACTTCGCGGAGGAGGAAAGTGATGACGGGGATCGTGTGGGAGGTTAGTGGGGAAGTGAGAAGCTCCGGGCACATGGAGACGAGGCGGCGGAAATCCGGCAGGGTGAAGTTGATTGGTGGAGTGGTCATGTAATCGACGACGGATTTAATGGCGGAGAGAGCGGCGGAGAGGAGAGGAGGGTGGCGGTTGATTAGCGTGAGGAAATCGATTCCGAGGGAATCGAGGTAAAGGAGCTTCTCGTGGATGTCGGATTCTAGGGTTTCGGTGGTGGTGGAGGGGAGAGAGGGGATATCTGGGGATTTGGGAGGGAAGAAGAGAGATGAGGTGGAGGTGTTTGGTTTGAAGGAAAGTGCGGGAAAATTGTGGAATCGGAGGCGAGAAAGTGAAGGAAAATGGTGGTGGTGGGAAGGGAAAGAGGAGGAGAGGAAAGAGAGAGCTTCTTGTTGCATTGCTCAAGAGACATCACTTACTACTGCATGGATTCTCTCTTCTCTCTCTCTCTCTCTCTGTTTTCTCTCTGAAACAAAATGATAAAAGGATAAGACACAAACTGTGATTTGAAGATGGGGATTTGGAGAAGAGAAGGAGATATCATATCTCCATCAAACCGGTTCAAAACAGAATTTAACCGGTTTATTCCAATCGAGATTAGACCAAAATGTAATGGATTTTAACCGGTTTCTTTTCTCTGCCAGGCCCACTGGGCTGTTTTTGTTATCTCGTGAAGGGAATTTGAAGTGGCCTAGGCCCTCGACAACAAGGAGAAAATATAATGATCGCTTGATTAAAAAACAAAATTCCCTTTTAATAAATAGTACAATTTTGTGGAAGCCTCTTAGCCTAGTGGTTGAAGGGATTTAATGCTTCTACATCAGGAGGTCTGGGTTTCGGAGCCGTCGGCCGGGGAGCCTTTGGAGATGGTAGAATCGTCCGTTGTAGAATTGTCTTGTAACAGTTCTCATATTTGTCTAATAGATTTGTCAATCCAGTGTTAAAAAAAAAAAATAGTACTCGATAATTAGAGCTCATATATATGAAATGAAATAAGAGAGAAATTATACACAAATCAAGGTTTTGAATAATGGATCAAGAGAAAAACGTGTTAAAAGACATTATACGTATGAATAAATCTAACTATACAAATCGCCTTCAGAAGTGGGAGAGTCTGTGATATCGTCGTCCCACACCATTTTGGACACAAAGTCGTCGTGCTTTGGAACATACTCCTACAGTTACAAACATGAATACAATAAATTTAATTATCCTCTTTATCCACACATTTTAGCTATACAAGAGTGGAATAATCAGAATTTAGGAAATAAACCTCAAGAAGCTGGAGTAATTGAGGAGCGGTCGGGGCAGAGACGATGATACGGCGGGCGGTGGAGGAGACAAAGCCTTCGTCCACTGCCTTATCTATAAACGTTAATAGTGAATCGTAGAATCCATCCACGTTCAATAGTCCCACCTGCATTTTTAAATAAAAACTTCACATTATACTATTTATTATATGTATGTTATTCAACGTTTTCGCATTTTTTTTTTAACATGTTCTAAAGGGTCTTCGAGCTTACGTGTATCGGTTTATGCTTACATTTGATTAGTATGTACGGTATGGTTTTGGTGTTCTCTAAATTTTTGCTTTTTTTGGGACAAAACTACTATTTATGTTTTGTCGGATAACCGGATTTACCGGCCCAAATCTCAAGGGATGATGATTAAACGAAACTGAGGATTACTTACTGGTTTAGTGTGGATCCCAAGTTGAGACCAGGTGATAACTTCCAACAACTCTTCAAATGTTCCATATCCACCTATTTTGTTTGTCAAACAACACCACACAAATGATTTTACTAAACTTCCATGATTTTACATATACAAACACCTAATCGTTTCAAAATTCATCGACAGATGATATAAATAAATAAACAAACCAGGAAGTGCAATGAAGGCATCCGCTTGGCGACCCATTTCAGCCTTCCTTTGGTGCATAGTCGACACTGTTATAACTTCTCCAATTGATCCACCAGTTATCTAAACCCAACATCATTTCATCATAATCAGTTTAAAGTCACATATATTTTACTAAAAGAACTCATTAGGACGACACAAAAGAATTTTATTGTTAACTACGACGAGTATATATAAATTGTTTCAGTGCTCGTCAAATGTATAGTAGACTTGTAAATACCTCTCTTGGTGCTAGAGTCTTCGGAATGATCCTGCATTACATGCAACATATAATGTAAATAATTATCAGTAAAGAGTATTATATCAAATCATTAGTTTACTCACCCTACTTTAATGGTCAAAGATTCTTATCGTTCTTTACTTTCTTTCGGTTAAGGGCCAAATTTCTTTGAAACAGTAAAGTTCAATTTTTAATAGAATATGTTTAAGGGGAACTAAATACATCTGCCTTCCCCCCCCCTTTGGACTTAGACTTTCTCTAAAATTAGTGTAGAAAAGCCTGAACACCGATTATAAGTATGTTCCAACATATGTATTTGAAAAACTAAGTAGAAATATACATTTTTTTTAAAAAAAAAACTCAGTAGAGTACTAGAGTTATTAAACTATATTTTAAAAAGAATTTATCTTTTGAAGCAGTCGAATTGATATTTATGATATTGTTACCCATTTGAAAGGCAAGAAGAGAACATGGGAAGGCCAAAACAGAATGATGGAGTGTCGCTTTGAATGAACAGTCATACAGATAAATTGAGCCCTCTAATATTTTATTGTTTACTTGTTTAAAAACTAAAAAATAGAGAGATATATACCCAAGAACATGACGACCACCATCATGAACAGCTTGAGATATGAGACCCATTAGCCCCACGCTTCCTCCTCCATACACCAAATCGATGTTTTTCTCAACCTTTCACATTTACATATATGTGTTATTAATGACAAAAAGATGCAGCTTATATGTTCTATAAAGTTGTAATTATACATACGTAACCTAATCTTTTAGTTGGTTTTATTAATTCAAAGTAATTTCCATCCGTTTAACACAAACACTAAACATTAGCAAGGTGGAATGTATTGGTTGAAGAAGTGAATTGTATTCGTTAATACGATAATACGATCGTAAACTACACAATCATATGGTACTTAATTTTCCCCATACAGCATACACTTAGCAATACATTTAACCACTAGCATTTTGTTGGAACCTCGGAAGCATTTTTAGTTGACGTTAATGGTTAAATGTATTGCCATAAAAAAGAAAGACATAGCATATAACGAAATAGTAAAATCCAAAATCTGTTATCGTAATACAATTCTTAATTAGTTAACTAAATAGGCATAAAGCGAGAGGAACAGAAGTAAATAAAATGTGGAAATAGAGAGAGGAGGAACCAGTTGGTTTGCGAGTTGGAGAGCAGCGTCGTGATAAGTGGTTCTGTTGCCGGAACTGCTTCCGCAGAAGACACAGATCCTCCTGAATCTTGATTTTGTCTCTTCCATTTTTCTCTATCTCTGTCTCTCTCTTTCTGTCCTTTTCTGTCACTTTCTTCACTTTCTTTTTTGGTTCTGTCACTTTCCTCACTTTTTTTTACATAAATAGAGATATGTGAGGAAGAAGTATACAGATTTGTTTGGCTAAGGATCCAGGTAGGCTGGCTATATATACATTTAAATGTGTTAGTTTATCTTCTCATTGGATCCCGTAGATTGTGACAGCTTGGTTTTTTTTTTTCTTTTACATTATATTTTAGAAGATGTTCTTAGTTATCATACTTTTTACTAGAAGTATTTCTTTTCTTCTTTTTAATTATTATACTTTTTACCTGGCTATATATACATTTAAATGTGTTAGTTTATCTTCTCATTGGATCCCGTAGATTGTGACAGCTTGGTTTTTTTTTTTCTTTTACATTATATTTTAGAAGATGTTCTTAGTTATCATACTTTTTACTAGAAGTATTTCTTTTCTTCTTTTTAATTATTATACTTTTTACCAGAAATATCTCACAGCTTCTTATTAGAGTATAATTGTATAAAAATAGAAAATCAACCTTTATGTGCTAGGTTAACAAAATGTTAAGAAATCTACATTCTAGAATTCCTCCAAAATTATATTTTATGAGATAGAAAAGCAATACTCACCAACATATTCAACAAATTTATCTATAGACTTTGAAATGGAATAACATACATATACTAAATTTCTTTGTGATAGTTACTAAACCGTATCTTTGAGTCCTAAGCTATTTGGAGGAATAACAAACTAGATTGTAAACTATGATATATGTATAGTGTATGAAAAAATTACATGTATTGTAAACTAGATTTATGGCGAGGCAGTTTCTATATGTATCGAAGTTTACATTAAAATATCGGTTCATCATGTCCACAAGCAAGTGCGATAGCCTAAGGAGCACTACTCATTTTCATAACCTTAACTCTTATCTATTTTTTTTTTTTTAAATACTAATAAAATTGTGACGCAGAGATCGCAATTTGACTCCACTCACACGGTAATCGGAAAAGTGTTCACCTTACAAGAATTCGATTCCGTGAATTCTTTCTTATGATACTTTAGTTACATTAATGAATAAACTATATATACGGTATCTTTGATTGAAGAATCGGTCATTATGCGTATCTATATGTTACTTCTTATCAGTCACCAAATCTCTATAATCTTTTGCTTTCGTACCTATAGCTAATTTTTTTTATTGGAAATAATACTGTTATTATAGTATTATTAATTGAGCTCACAACTGGATCGTGACAAAAAAGGCTCTCAGTTTGGATTCTCTTAAGGTCGAAACTATCGTTTAACTTAGAGAAAATCAGTTAGATTAAAAGACATTTCAAGAAACCGTGTGATATTAGATTAAGTCATTTACTTATAGTAAGTCAAACATATCACGATCGTAATCCAGTTTCAACAAATGCATATGTGTTTGAGTGTTTCATTATCCACATATATATATTAGATTCGAAGAGTTTAATATTCAAATTTCTATGATCTACAGGATTTGATCAGATCTCATAATTTGGATATTCTGCCTATCTCACTAGCTCTAAATTAATAGACATATAGCTGGTACATTTAACTTTAGTTTATTATGAACTCTTTGCAATTTGTTCAGAAGTTCTATAAAATAGCATACATTTGATTTGTTTTAGACCGGCCAGGCGACCACTGTACAGGCCAAGTCAACCAAGCAATCTCGTAACTATTTGTTTGATATTCTTTGTTAAACAAAAACGAGAAATTTCAACTTCGGAACAGAAATATAAATAGAGGGAGCCCATTGGATTTCAAATTTTAAATGGGCGAGGCTATGGATGAGGAACAAATTAATACATACATATATTGACACTAGTTATTGTGTACAATACCATTAGCACATCCACTTCACTGCCTCATTTTTACTGTTTGAACTTGAAAAAGTTCATGGGACACAAATTAAGACATATATTGAGTACTCTTCTCTTTTAATACATGATGAGTTCTTTTAATCACACTTCCTCACTCGAGATGTTGTTGATTGGTTTAGAATATAACAAAAAAAAATAAAAAAATTAAGGGTGCAATATAAAACAAAAGGTATGCATGGACAGGGAACGACGTGTTGAACAGAAGGTATGTATGAATATGATATATGTCACCAAATGTGTATTGTGTATTTGTGTTGTTGGTAAACATATCTATATGCCATGGACACTGCAGGCTGAGATTGCTAGCTGAATCCAAAGGATATCGGCTTGACGACACTGGACTCTTCCCTGCTACTCAGGGCGCTAAAGCAACTGCAAGCCTGAAACTCGCCACTGAGAAACAAGTTACTACTGATTTGTGTTGGCTTGAGAATAAGGGGCTGGATGATGGTACCCTGAGAAACAAGCCTGGTACCCTAACAATAATGATATATTTTTTTAAAAAAATAGTCAGTTACTAAATAAATAAAAAATCTCAATTTGTTAAATAGGGGCCTCGAACTTGGGATGATCCAAGAAGATGAGGGCTGATTTTCTTGTTCTGGCTTGAGAATAAGGGGCTGAATGATCCATCGTTGTTAAATAGGGGCTGAATTCTCAGAAACAAGTTGTTGGGCCTCGAACCTTTGATACCAGCTAAAATACTGAAAGCTGATGTTCTTGTTCTGTCCTGAATATTTTCTGTCTGATACCATGAATCCAGAGAGGAACACAATCGTCAACATGTGTCTCAGCCCTCCGAATCCCTCCTCCATCCTCGACTGACAAGAAAAAAAAGGAAACCAAGCAAAGGGTTTAGGATTTATAATTTTGTTTCGATTTCGCCAAAAAGAAAAAGGCTTGTATTAAGACAACATATGTTTTCAGCAGTCGTCAGATATTTCAAGTCTATTCGTTATTTAAAACTAGGGCTAAGCCCACGCGATGCGTGAGTTATGACTATTACAAAGTTTTTTTTACTTATATTTTAATTGTTATTTTAGTTTTGTAAATATTTGGTCTCTTATATTTTTCCAGATTTGTTAACATGTGGTCGAAATATAAATGTATATTGCTCATTATTTTTTCTAAAATCAAATTTCGTAAAATGTTTGCCATAGGCATGAGACTTTTAACCAATATTCGAAAACCCAAACCGTACCGACCTAAAAGAATCGTACCTGATTGATTTTGGGTATATGGTAAATCATCCATTAGGTAGATATTTAATACCTGTTGATATTGGGTAATATCCGAATCGAACGGGTATCCGAATTATGGATATTGTGGATATTATATATATATATATAAATATATATTTTTTGGATTTTCAGATATATTTTCAGTATTTTAATTTTATTTAATTTTTTTAAATTCATATTTTTACCAAACCAAAATTCATAGAGACTAAGACCCAAATGAAATCTACCCAAACTCGACTGAATAGCCTTTTGTCGCAGTCTAGCATTTTTTTAAACGAATAACTAAAATACGAACTTTTTAATTAACAGTTAATTTGAATAAAATATAAAAATCATCAAACTAATCTATATACTGTAAAAGTCTCGCGAATATAATTTTTTCTTTCTTATTGCCACACTCAATTTAAATATTGTTACATAAAAAGCTCCATCGAATCCATTTTTACTTCTTTAATTGCTTGCTTTAACTTGGTTTGTTTGGTTCAGCTAAACCGGAAGGAACTCTCCGGCTATCTCAACAGATTCTCTTAAGGTTTTTACACTGAACGATTTCTCCTTTGTCGTCCTTCCTTCGCTGCCCCAACTTCTCCAATCGATTGACGCTTCTGAGTCCTGACAGAGATATGACCGTGGGTTAATGGCGATTTCCGGATCCATCTCTGACTCAACTCTAAAAATCCAAGCTGGAGATGAATGGCAAGAGTTCCTTCTATTCGCCAATTCGCTACATCCAGGTCTATCGCACCCGTTGAGTTTCAAACTTGTAGAAGTGTCCAGTATTGTTAAACACCTCTTCCAAGTTCACGCGAGGCTCATCGCTTCCGGCAACTTTTGGGATTCCTCTTCAGCCATCAGATTGTTGAAATGTTCGTCGCGTTTCGGAGACGCTAGCTATACCCTTTCGATATTCCGCAGCATCGGCAAGTTCTACTTCGCAAATCCTGTCTTCAAGGCGTATTTGGACTCTTCTACTCCTCGGCAAGCGTTGGAAGAATCTTCTGATTGTGCTCCGCCGCGGAAGATTCAGAGAGGAGATGATGATTCCACTCGTGGGTTGTGTTCATGACGTTTGCTTCCTTGAAAATTACGTTCTCTTCCTCCCTCCGAAAACGACGCTCCTATAATAGTTAAATTCAAGCGTTCGATTCAAACCGATTCAGGTAGTTCTTTTTTACATGGCGCTTCTCCATGGTTTGCATCTCCATATACTTCAATAGATTGTTTAACCTTTTCTATTTCCTAATAAAGCTACGGGTGTATACAGAGTACCGGCCAGCTTAAGACCCGAAAATCTGGTGGTTCTGATGGGGGAAAAGTGTCTGGTGGAGGTGAAACAATCACTTTTGCAGATGTTGCAGGTGTTGATGAAGCAAAGGAAGAGCTTGAAGAACTCGTGGTAGGTCTCTACATTCCTTAATAAAGATTTTGCACATGCTAAATAATAATCAGATCGTTTGTGATAGCTTGCCTTTTACACATGGATCAATCGTTGCAGGAATTTCTTTGGAATCCTGACAAGTATGTCCGATGATGTTCCAATCCTTACACACTGGAAACCGACGACGTTCCAATGGCGTCATCACTCATCATCAATCGACGAGCTTTCTTCCACCGCCGATATCAATTGGAAGATGAAGCGTGAAGAGGTATTTGGAAGATGAAGAGTTAACATTTTTTTTTTTAATAAGTAGATGCCACATGACAATCTAAGAAACAAAAAAAATTGCTGAGGTGTCTCGGAGAGAGTTATCCTCTCATTATAATATAGATTCGATTGAAGGAAGCATATATGGTCACATCAGATTTTTGGGGACATTTTTGTATTTTATGGACTCCATCTCATTTACATGTTATCACTTATTACTAATTATGTTACATGTCGTAATAACTATTAACTACAATCGAATTAAAGTTAAGGCAAATTCCCATACTTTTAGTATCCGTATCAGTCAGCAATTAAAACGAAGAAGAAGAAGAAGAAGAAGAAGAAGAAGAAGAAGAAGACATTCAGACGTTACGAAATCAAACAAAAATATTAACAATAAACACATATATCAACACTTTATATTTATCACATGTATTGACAACTCTTTCTCTATTTATACATGATGAGTTTCTGTAGTCACACTTCTTCACTCGAGCTGATGTTGATTGGTTTGTCCAATGTTGGAGCAGGAACATCTTTTATCCTTAGACTCTGCAAGAAACCAATCATCTACGCATGGAAAACGTATAAGCGTGGTTCATCAAAATTCATACACAATCAAATCAAAGTACTGAATCGAAGGCCATACCGAGGACAAGGCGACGCATAGAAGGCTGAATCCAGGGAAATAGAACGGTGCATTGTTGGAAAGAAACAGTGCTATACATATACATGAAACCAAATATTTCAAATGTGTCAAGAATGAAACTTAGCATAAGAACAAAAAATAATGAAGATCTTTAAATTTCACAAACCTGTCAATGGACTAAACACAAATGGTCCCACTACTTTCCCAAAGGACCTCACTCCTGATATGCATCCTTGTACCTTTCCCTTAATTAATTCAAACGTTTACATCTTGTTTAAGGTCGTTCTTTTGTGAATATTGACAGTGACACCAACAGAAACCAACATTAAATTAATTGTTAGAACAAGATATATACTAGTTTTTACCTGTTCACCGGGTCCGACTTGTCTTGAGGCAATACCACAAACCTACAGTCAAGATTTTCAAACTCTAATAGGCAAATACACCATTTTTAAGGAGTAATGATGATGTCCAAAGTCTTACCGTTGGCATCACAAGCATGGATCCAGGTACAAACAGAGTTGTGAGATAAGGAACCTGAATTAAAAAAAAAAAAAAAAAACATAACGCAAAAGTAAATCATATTGAGGTTGAACATTGACTCAGGTCCCTAGCTAGTATTGACCAACTCACCCATGGAGCCCAAGAAATGCTGACAATGGCCATCTGCATCACAAACACATGCACCATTTCATTACTTCTATATATATACCACGATCGATTATTTAGGGTTTCATTAGAATAGCAAAAAACAAATCAAGAATAAACAAATAAACATATGCTTACGTTCATGAATTCCATAAAAAGCCCTGTTGATAAAAGCTTGCGTTCCGAAATGGCAGAAGCAAATCTTGGTAGTACAAACAGCTGAGAAAATAAAGTTAGCCAAAAATATTTAAAATGTTAAAGTATGAATGCTATGTTTATATAATATTATTTTTATGCATAATCACTTGTAATTTAATTACTTGAGAGATGGACGCAACGATGGTAATCAACAATATGAGATCAGCAAACTGGTTCTTGTCAAATCCAAAACGTGCTTTTAGAAAATACTGCACAATTAAATTAAAAAAAAAAAAATCATATGAATTTGTTCACGTAACTGATACGAAGAAAAAACACATAATGTGAAATAAAGAGTATATATATATGAGCTATACCAAGAAAGCAGACTGCATTCCACTATCTGAGAAACTGCTGAAGAATGTAACAACCAATAATTGAACGAATATGGTACTGCATTTCAAAATCCATATCCATCATTTAGAATGATGTATATATATATATATATATAATATAAGTGCATATCTATAAAAGGAACATAAACATACCTAGTCTTCATCAAGAAGATCATATCTTTCAATGAAGATTGCTTCTTGTTAAAGACACGTGGTTTAATGGCTGTGTCGTTCAGAATCGGCTCGGACAACATGGTGACATCATTATCATCATGATCCTCTTGATACGTACAATGATGATGATCACCATATTCATCATCATTTAGCCTTTCCTTTAGGAAAAGTCTCATGTAAACCAGGGCAACGAGATATGATATAGCTGAAACCTAATTGAGCCAGAAAATAACATGCCTCTTATATTTTCCTAATAATGAGTAGATTTTGGTTCCTGTGAGGATGGTGATATAAGATACCTTAAAAATCCAAGCTGTGGGTAGAAAACGAGCAACTAAAGTTCCGGAAAGTGCAGATGTCACTATGATACCAGCTAAAATACTAAAAGCTGATGTTCTTCTTCTGACTTGAATATTTTCTGCCTGAAAATGAACTATTATTGTAATTTAAAATTTTAAATTAATCATAGTGAAAAAGGATTAAAAAAATTACCACATAAGCTGCTGCGAGACAGTCAACGGTGCCTTCGCATACGAAAGCGGTCAGAATCTTGATTATGTAATACAAATAGAAAAAGTGTGTATCCCTTCTGTACCCTAAAATTACTGCCAAAAAGAAAAGAAAAACCTATTCAAACGCATAGTCTTGGTTCTCTTTTATCATATGAGAAAACAATTTAAGAAATGATAAATACGAAAAACGCTATGTAATCCACTAATACGTACTTATACAAACTTAGCTTTAGGTTATTCCTACAAAATTGGCAGAAATTCAACATAAATTGGCAGAAATTCAACATTGTGATTTGTTCAGGTTTAAGATAAGGCAAAAAAGGTATATGTGCTAGAACAGTGGCGGAGTTAGCCAAAGTTTTGACAAGAGTCAGACTCATATATATTAACCATTTTTTGGAGGGGTCAATGAGCCTATTTTATCAAATTTCATCAAGTGATCCACTCCCACGTCTCAGCAAACTAGCTCCGCCACTGTGCTATAATCGTTGACTACAACTAACACTACAAGAAATTAGGTGTGTAATGTCATTTATTTTCTTAGTTTATATCATTTATTGATTGATATAAATGAATTTGCATCATTTATATAAATGATTCTGAAAGTGGTGACTCTAATACTTTGTGATGCTAAAAACAAATGATGCAACTAGTTTCATCATTTTTGCAAATGATGTTAATGTATAGTATCATTTATAGTAAATGAGGTAAACATTTGTATCACTTAATATAAATGAAATAAACAATTGAATCATTTAATATAAATGATGTTAATATATGTCGGTTATAACAATTGATATTATATATATTTAATTATATCATATATTTTAGTTGATAATATTATTATATCAATTAAAAATAAGTGACACTAAAAATTATGTAAATTTTAAATTTCGTATTATTTTCAATAAAATACTAAATTCGAAATTATTAATATTTTTGTAATTATTATTATAAATAATATATGTAAATACATATTTATGATTTAACTTATATAAAAATAAAAATTATATGGGTGAAGTTATTATATAGATGAGCAAACTACTATCCTTCATCTTTGTTTAGCGATGTGGGACAAATAGTTGTTTACTCAAAATTTTGTTTGCATCACTTTTTATAACTGAAGTAAATATTAACATCATTTATTATTGATGCTAGTAATACTGAGAAAATGCTTCAGTTATGTAAATGATGTAAACACATATATTTGTGTCAGTTTTTAAAAAATGATGTAAATCAATATTCACTTGTATCATTTTTAATTTAATTGATGTTAATTAAGTTAATATCGATATCAATTATTTTAAGTGATGCAAAATCATAAATTTAATGTCAATCTTTAATAAATGATGCTAATTAGAATCATTTAAATTTTTGACACTAAATAAGTGATGCTATCTACCTTATTTCTTGTAGTGTAATATACAGTTTTTATCATTTTAATAAATTATTATATTTAAGTAGATTTAAAGAAGTACTAATTGTTAATAACCAGTATTAAATAGAAGCTGGCACCGTTTTCCAAATTCGATATTGAAAATCAAAATCAGATAGTGGAAGTCCAAGTCAGACTCATCAGACACATGTGATGAACATTCGATTATTCGGTTTAGTTTTTTTCAGGTTTTTTTTGTTAATTTTAAAGATTTAGATATAAAGAAAAATATTTGGGGTCAAATTGTAGTTTGCTTAGTTCAGTTTCATTTCGTCTGACTTCTTTAGGATAATTCATATTTTGGCTTTCGACAAAAAAAATAATAAAAAATTAACTGAAATAAACTATAGAAGGTGCCGACTTATTTTTCTCTTTTTAAAAACTTGTCGTTGTAGTGGGGTAAAGCTTATTTCCTTCCACGCGTTACTTTCCTAATATGATTTGTTTTCTTTGAACTTTAGCAAGTCCTATTTTTGTCACTTTGTTTAAAAACAAGATAAAAAAAGATTGAAATAAAAGAGAGATAGAGAGCGGACCAGGAGGAAGAATGGAGAGACACATGGGTAGAGTGAGAATCACTTTGATTCCGTATCTGTCTGATAAATTTCCAATAATCGGCATCATTATCATTGTCCCAAGCCCTATTACCTTCATTTAACAGTTCTTATTATCACACACATGAAAATTATATATGTGGAAATCGGTTAAACTCGATAGAAAAATAATATTCAAAAAATGAAATAGCTGGTGTACCTTTTAAAAAAATGAAAGAAACTGGATAATATAAATTCAGTATTTCGCATTAATGATCCACGTGTATATTTGCAGATGTATATGTTCATCATATTCAACATATATAGATATTCGTTTGACAAATACAAAAAAATGAAAAATTAAACACAGCTGGGTTTGTACACTGTGTAACTTCGAAAAGGACAATAAAAAAAACTCTTCAAGTTATAAAAAAAAAATCGTCATTATTTAACTTTGAAGAGCAAGAGAGAAATTTGGAAGCACTATCTTCAGTTTCAGCAACGAAATAAAGAAAGAAACAATCTTTTTTTTTCTTTTTCTTTGTTGAAACTTGAAACAATCTTTACACAATCAGGAAGATAAGATTAAAGAGGGGTAAAGCAAGTATAAAGATAGATATGTAAGTTAAGGTGTGTACCACTTGTTGGAATCCGGTGAGATAGACGGCGAGAGAACATGAGTCGTCTTGTCCGGAGCAAATGGCGGCTACGGTGACGTCAGTGATCACTGGTGCTACCATGAATCCGGCGGATCCTGTCAGGAAAACAATCGTCAACATGTGTCTCAGCCCTCCGAATCCATCCTCCATCCTCGACTGACGAGAGAAAAAAAAAGAAACTAAGCAATGGTTCAGGATTTGTTTCGATTTTGCCAAAAAGAAAAAAAAATCTTAATATCCAAGAAAACAAATGTTTAGTCGGCAGATATTTTTCCAGTCTAAATCTTTATTCTTAAAATTCGATTAAAGCATGGTGGTCCCATTAGATCTGTTGAGGACGTTTTCGTATTTTATGGACACTATCTTTTAGTCACTCTCTCTTTTACATTTTAATCACTCGTTATTAATTATGTGTCATGTCGTAATAGCTACAATCGAAATAGAGTTAAGGAAAATGTAAATATATTAAGCACCCGTTTATTTCAATTAGAATTTAAAATATATATATCTAGTCAATTACGTAAGCAAACAAAACTTTGTTGGTATGGTTGCAAAACAACCATAGTTGGAAGTTTAAAGATTTGAATCGCAACAAATAGATCGAAGAGAACGGAATCAACAGGCAAACAAACGCAAAACGAGCAAGAATGGCGAAACAAATACGAAAAAACAGTGTATATGCTTTCTAGTGAATTTGCAAAGGGGTATATTCCATTTGACCAAATTGTGATGCATTAATGTTGTCGTAACACGTCATCGTAAAAGCTATCACAAATTGCTTTAAATTGAAACGTTTACTTTTACCCTTATCGCATAAATACGCCAGCATTTGCAACGATACTTGGCAGTAAAATATTCCATCACATAACACCACCAAAAAGTTAGGTTAAAAATAGTGGAAAGTTGGAAACGCATTGAAAGGTTTGTAAACATTCACTCTTGAAAAGGGTAAGAGAAAATCAAAGAGCAGAACGAAAGTGTTTTACAAAACGCACTAAAAAAATGGAGAGAAAGTGGAATTCATTGTCAAATAGCACAAAAAGGCCCACCATAATGAAGAAGGATAAAGAGTGGTTCCCACGGAAGTGTGCAAATGGCTAAAAAAGTACCTAGTCATACCAAGATCTACACTGTCATGATCTTGACAACATTGAGGTACATTGACAACACCATTGAGTTCAAGGTGAAAGTCGTGGGTAGTGCCTAAACCTTTTGCAATAATGATCAAAGCTATGATCATCCTGGTGGTGAAATTATTAACGATGTCAAGATGGTCTTCAGGAAATTTTGGAGAAAACTCTCATACTTGAGCTGATTGATCTCTGAACATGCTTTGAACTCCTCATGAAACTCATTCCATCGCCAATGATCCACCAAAGAGTCAGAAGCCTCCTCCATTTCCTCCATGTGTATAAGAAGAGTAATCGTTCTAAATTTTGGATATATCCTATTTTGTAAATTAGATAGGATAATAATAAAATCAATGTTTAGAAAATTGTCTCGCTAAATTTTAGCTTTTGTCTGAATAATTTGTTATAACTTCTTGTTGGTAATTTCTTCATGAAACGTTTGTTAAAAAATCTTTTATATCCTTGAAGATCTCACATCATTATATATTGCTTTCATGAGTTATCTCTTGTCAAGCTTCCTCGTTTGAAGTGTTGTTGATTGCTGCAGTGTTCATTGACGGAGAAGAAACATCTTTGATCATAAGACTCAGAGCGAATCCGATCATCTGTGCATGTGAGAAAATGTTAGTCATCCATATAGTTAATACATCTAATCAACATATATAGTTTTGTGTTAAGTAAACTTTATAAAAAAAAAAACATAGTTGTGATCTATATGGTTGTAACTTTATAGAATGTATACCATAGATAACGCGATGCATAGAAGGCTGAATCCAGGGAAATAGAACGGTGTATTGTCCGAGAGAAACAAAGCTATATCAAAGGCAGAAATCAAAATCGGCAATATGCATGAACAGCTGACAAAACAAATTTCAGCATCACATATCGACGAACAACAGTTATTCTGGTTTACCTGGTAATTAGAAATGCATGCGACCTGATTACCCCCTGGCATTAGTCGGAAGGCACTCCAAACTCGGAATAGGCAGTGTGGTAGTTCTTAGGATGAGTCCACTTTGCACCACCTTGGTGCGTTCCTCCCGGGGCTAACCGGAAGATAAGGTCTATCAAAAAAAAAAAAAAAAACAACAGTTATTCTGATTATATACGATGATTTTTTTATTTATGATAATGACACGTAAGTACATGTAATTAATTACCTCGGAGATGCAGCCAATGGTCGAAACCAACAAGAAGAGCTGAGCAAAGTCACTTTTGTTGAAATCAAAACGAGCTTTAAAAAAAATACATTATTAATTTATAATAATTAATACTCCGACATTTTATTGCTAAGTTAAAAAAATAACGTAAAATAATTGATGTAAAATGTGTAGATGAGAATAATCATGAAAGCAGACCATATCTTTCAAAGAGGAATACTTATTCTTGAAGAAATATGATCTAGCTGGTGCATTTTTAGAATCGGCTTTGTTAATGTCCTTATTAGAGGTGAAATTAGCACATTTCTTTGAGTTCGTTGCAATTAGTAACATCATAAAAGTCCAACCCGTCTTTGGCCTTAACCTCCTCAAACAAATGACAAATCTTGAGGAGGAAGTCAAAATCTTTGGGAATGTAAAGAGAGATATGCCGACTCGAAGAATGGAAAGAAATCAAGGATAAGAGGAAGTCTTCCAAATTAACCGAGAAGGAGATATCCATCGAGAAGCCGACCTCCCATCACTATATAATGAAGGCCCCCTAATCATGGAAAAGGATCCGAAATTCTCTGCAATCACTCCTAGCAATAGAGCTCTTTTTCACCTTTCTCTTGTTTTCAATCAACCCTGTTTGGCGAGACCACCCTACTTGTAGTCCTTTAACACTTCTTCGTGTTAAAGTCTCTAGTTCCCTAAAACTCACATCTTTGATACCCCGTCATCATCATGCATGCTATCTCAGATCTAACAGTCCTTAGATCACCACCATCACCATAAATGTCTTCCTCGCCATCATCATCATCATCGTGTAGCTTCTCTTTTAGGAAAATTCTCATGTACACCAGGCCAACGAGTAGTGATATAGCTGAAACCTAGTGAAGTTCCGACTGAAATCGGTTTTGAAAAGTTTGAAAGAAAAATGTATATATGTGAGATTAGCTTCACCTCGTCGAGGAACTCACTCTTACCTTGGCTTGACTTCTTTGCCAATCTCTTCACAACAGTTTCTTGACCGTCCACTAACCTGCCCTGTTTAATCACATAAATACGATTTCTTGTTACACACTCAATCGCAAAATTATCATAATTCCACTATGCTTACCTTATAAACTGAACCAAAGCCACTAGTTCCCATTTTGTTGGAGTCGTTGAAGTGGTTTGTTAGCCATAGAGATAGTTCCCACAGCCATCAACAGAAGCTCTGTATCTTCTTCTACAGATAACCGTCTCTTCCTGGATATAAAGATATTCTCCATTCTTTCTTGGTTCACTATGATTTTACAAGAAATCTAAACTGAAACTGAAAACATGATATTGTAAATTGAAAACATTTGGTTTGAAAACTGTTGTACCAATATGTCTTGCAACTCTATTCCTCTTCCGCAAACGCAAGATGATATAAGGGATCAAGATAAGCAAACCGATGCCACTAAGAATCAAAAATATTATAGCAATTATCTTTCTCTTCTCCCCTGGAAAAGAGTCAAAAGTTTATAAGTCGTAATAAAATATTAATATTTAAAAGTTAACAAAAAAAATTAGGAGAATAATAACTAACCGAGATGTCTATGTTTGGAAGGTCCAACCCTGACATAAAGGTCATGACCGGCTCATAAGTCTTACATCATATAGATATGACTTGTCCCAAATCAAACAAGTCGACTTGTTACCAAGTAAGCCATGCATGGCAACAAACGCGATACAAGAGCAGATACTCCTCCATAAATCACAAGTGCATATTCAGTGCTTATCCAGTGTCCGGCAACACTGGCAACAGTGCATTGGATAGTCTAATAAAGACGTCACTAGCACAAAAACAAAAATTTGAAAGAAAAATGTATATATGTGAGAGTGTACATAACCAATATACAATACCTGAAAAATCGAAGATACAAGTAGAAAACGAGCTGAAAGTTTGCACAAACTCCGGAAATTGATCTGACACCTGCTAAAACTCCAAACATTGTTATTCTTTTCTCCCATGAATGTTTTTTGCCTGAAAATATATTACGTTGAAATGACTCCGTATTTTGAAATACTTGAAATACGACCAATATAATATCATACATATAATAAGATCATGGTGATGTGAAAACTGAAAACACAATTTAAAATAAACAAATAATCAAGGCATCTATCAATAATATATCAATAAGACAGGCTCCAGCTATAGAGTTTGGAGTTCTACACTGTCAATTTAACACTTTTGGGATATACTAAAGTTTGCAAGTTCCGAATATTTGTGTTTCATTTAAAAGAAGCATGTTGGTGCGCAAATTCCATCATTTCATTTAAAATTAAAGCCTTCCGATGGAGAATTATGTCATAAACTATTCTGTTTGTTCTCTCGGTGGTTTCACTTTTATGATATAATGTGCTTTACTTTGAAAAACAAAACAACTCTCAAGAGGCTTTTCTTACTTTATACAACTTTTTGTTGTGGTTTCATTTGAAAGAAACACTAGGGAAAAGTCATGCACAAACTTAACTTAGGAACCAGTTAAGATTTGGAATCAGTTTCTTAACTTGGGACAAGCAAACACTTTGTAAGTTGCTGTAGACAGCTTACCAAGATTTCAGGTTCTTGCCATCGTATCTTGGAATTTTTTGATGCATAACACTCTGTTGTTCAAAATTTGAATAGCGTAAACAAAATTCTTTAGCAGGTTGGTTAAAAAAAGGGTCGATAATATGATTCTATTTTCTTGCGAATATGTTTATCTGCGGCCAGGTCTTACACTTTTCTTGAAAAGATTGGTGGAAGCAAATGCCTTTTCTTTTGTGTTAGAAGATGAATGCTTTTGATAGGGAAACAAAGTTGATCGGTTTGGATTAAAGGAGAAAAGGGTTTGCGATTGAGTTTGCCTGAAGCAACCATCTCTATTCCTTTGCTTCTTTTTTTTTTTGTTTTTTTGTATAAAACGCTTTTGCCTCCAATTTTAGTTTCGTTTCACTCTTTCTTTATATGCCTTTTGGGTATGCGCTCATAAACAATATTTGGTGATATTACTCTTTATTCTCCTAACTGTCCTCATTGGTCCTACATGCATGTCCTCCATACCTAAGCATAATATTTGTGCACTTTTTCGATATAACAAGACGATATATATTTCCCCTGAGCTTGGAGCAACATTGTGAAAACTGGAAATTCAAACCTGACAGGCTCTTTAAGAAAACAATGAGATCTAACCTCATGGTACTATTGGTTCATAACGCATTACTTTCTTTTGATAGTGTTCTTTCTGTTGGAGCATAACCTGAATATATTTCACATTTATTTAATTCTCCTAAATAATGATCGTCAGGTCATTTCTCTCCTCCTTAATCTATAGCACACCTTTCTTTTGGTATTTTCTTATTCTGTTTTTCTATAAATCTGAGTAATTATGCTTTAGTTTGGTTATAGGAGCCAGAGGCATGGAGTGAATGTAAAAGATTTTGTTCATTGATGGGTAGCCTTTGGTTTTGAATGAAGGCAAACAATAAAAAAAAAAAAGCGAGTAAAAAAGCTGAAAATGTGATTGGAAAATAAATTGAAAATCTTTTACACTCCTTTCTTTAATTCATAGGAAATCAATATTTACATTTTCCATTTCATCAACTTTATAGGACATTATCTATGGTTTACCTGATTCTCTTATCAAAGTGTATAAATCTTGTTGAAGGGTTCCTAGGGAATGTGAATGGTGGTGGTGCTCTCTTTTCTCTTCTTTCTATGCAGTGGCATGCTTCATGAGAGAGATAGTTCTATTCATCCAAGTAGAAGTGTAATAGGATAGGCTCAATGGCTCATCATAAAAAATAACTATCTCTACTGCACTTCTATTCAACTAAGTATAACTTTGGCTTTTGTAAAGATTATCTCTAGAAGTGTATTATCAAGTAAAAATTAATATATCTTCAGTATTTCTAAATTGGTAACACCTTCATCTCTTCTGATTTTTAAATGAAAGATATGGTGAAAAAGCTATATGCTTTTGTGAAAGTAGAAAGGGAAAGATAATGATATTTAATAACTTTATAGTATAATTATATGCATATGATGGGTCAAGAAGTTACAAAGACCAGAATAGTGATTCTAAATTTGAGAGAGAAGAATCTTTTGGGTTACAGAGCCTGAAGGGTTAAAACGTCATCATCGGTTGTGAGTCTTGCTCATCACAGAGATAATTTGTGATAATCTTTTGAAACATCACATATATAATTAAGTGCCAGTGTTTTTCTCTTGCGGCTACATTGGTTATTGCATGCATACATGATTTTTGATAATCTTTTGGTTAGTTTGCTTGGTTGGCTCTGGACAAGGTGACTGTCGTTTAAGTGTGTTGGGACATGGCTATTAGTTGGTTGCAAAAGGTAGTGATTATATAATTGCAGATATTATTATCCTCTATATATATGTGTGAATATGATTTACATCTTTAGTTAGGTCTTTTTAAATATAAAAATTAAGTGATAGACGTTGCATAAAAGAAAGAGACCCACTTAATTAGCATTAGCAAGCATTACCCATATTTACAACTTTTTTGTTCCTTAATATGTATGTGATATTTGAGATAGAAAATAATATTAAGGGGAAAAGCTGAGTCGCCTTTGGCTTTTGGTACTGATTTGTCACCACATGCTTTCCACTTTGCACTACAAAAATCCACTTTGGACCCTCAAAGTTTGCCTCTCCTACACGAAAAGCATACACATTCCTTCTCCTCTCCATATAATCCCAAGTCCCACTTCTCTGTATACTGTCCTTTGGTATTTTTGTAATCCAAAGAAATAGAGTATCAAGACAAGACTCTTGTAGACTTACACAGTTTATATATTGAGTATGAGGAGTGGAGGTTGCAGTGTCCAGCAAGCCCTCACGCCTGAGGCTGCGACCATGGTGAAACAAGCTATGGCTTTGGCTAGACGGCGTGGGCATGTTCAGGTCACGCCTCTCCATGTGGCTAGCACCATGCTCTCAGCTTCCACAGGTTTATTCAGAACAGCTTGTCTCCAATCCCAGACTCATCCTCTTCAATGCAGAGCACTTGAGCTCTGTTTCAACGTCTCTTTGAACCGTCTTCCGACCTCTACGGGAAGTCCTTCGTTGGTCCCTTGTATATCTAATGCTCTGGTTGCAGCTTTCAAGCGTGCGCAGGCTCACTTGCGGCGTGGTTCCATCAAGAACCAGCAACAACCAATCTTGGCCGGCAAGATCGAGGCTGAGCAGCTCATTATTTCTATTCTTGATGATCCTGGTGTGAGCAGAGTGATGAGAGAGGCTGGTTTCTCAAGCCCTCAAGTGAAAGCCAAGGTGGAGCAAGCTGTGTCTTTGAAGGTTTTCTCCAATAAACCTAAAACAAGCAATTTGCTAACTGCGGCTGTCAAGAACATCAGGTAACGTCTCTTCTTGTGAACACACACACACACAAAATGTGAAATCTAATTAAACGTCTTTAATCAATGTATTTAATTTTTAAATAGTGAGATTGAAAATGAGACAATCCTAGAATGTTCAACTATGATGGAAGGAGAGGGAAAGAGAAGCAGCAATGTGACCACCGCTCTCCCAGCGTGGCTTCAGCTATACAAGAAGGAGAATCAACATAATGACACTGTGAGTTATATATGATCTCATCATTCTCATTATACGTATTGTTTTGAGTCCTAAGATTTGGTAATGTTTTGGATTTGGCAGGATTCAGATAACTTTATCTCCGATTCAATACCATATGAGAAAACCCTTGACCTTTCTTCTCTTTCTCCTTCTTCCTCTTCTTCCAACTTAATCTTGTTCGATCCTGAACATGACAATGAGCTCGAAACAACACTCTCGATGAACTCTGTGGCCACTTTTAGTGGTTCAATAGAGATCGAACATGCCTATAGGTTTAAAGAGATGAATTCTGAAAACCTAGGAACTCTATGTGATGCCTTGATGAGCAAGGCACCAAGGCAGAACGATGAAATCCCTGAGATAGCGAGAGCAATATTGAAATGCAGATTGGGATCAACACCTAGGAAGCTCAACGATGGGAATAGAAGACAAGAAACTTGGTTATTTTTCGAAGGCGCGAATGTTGAGGCCAAAGAGAAGATAGGTAGAGAGTTGGCTAAGCTTGTGTTCGGGTCGCAGAACAGCTTCATTTCAATCAGCTTTAGCAGCTTCTCTTCCTCCAATTCCATTGAAGATCTCAGGAATAAGAAAAGGAAGAGAGATGAAGATAGCTGGAGCTTCACTCAGAGATTGTTCGAAGCCGTGTCTTGTGATCCCCACAGAGTGTTTTTCTTGGAAGAGATAGAGGAAGCTGACTATTTGTGTCAGATGAGTTTAAAGAGAACTATTGAGAGAGAACGAGTTCAAAGTGCAAGTGGTGAAGAAGCTTTTCTTAGAGACGCAATTGTGATCTTGAGTTGTGAAAGATTCAGCTCAAGATCAAGAGCCTGCTCGCCTCCAGAATCTTGTATATCTCTCGATCTAAACTTATCTCTTGATCACGGTCATGATGATGGACATTACAGTGATCATATTGGATTACTCGATGCTGTAGATGCACACATTCTTTTCAGCGAGTCATCGACATGATTCATGTAATATCATCACCACCACTAGACTACCATGGTCATGGTCATGTATTATACTTCTCCGTGGGACAGTAAATCTAGTTAGGAACTTTACGGATGATTATGTTACCAAAACTATTGAAACTATTACCTTTTTTTATCTCTATGCGTATCCAACTAATTAGTCTGAACGTTGAACCTTTAAGTCGATGGTAACAAACACTAAACTTTGCGCTTAACATTTGATTACACACCAAAACTACTTCATACCACTTTTTAGATTTAAATGAGGGATTTTCTTGCAAATTAAGCTTGTCCACTCAATTTCAGTTCTCTATAAATAAAATAAAAAAGACTATCGATTTGTTTGACATGGCAAATGATAATATCCGACTGATTCATAATAAAGTCCTCGAGTATCGCGATACTGCCACCGCTGAAACAAAATGGTTGATAAATATGACAGTATTCGATATCTATAAATATTTTAGCTTTTATACTTGATCCATGGCACAAAGGGGAGGCACCTTTTAAGTTTAAAACTGAAGTAGACCAGACCAAAAAAATTCAAATTATATAAGGAGCACTACTTTATCTCACTTTTTTTTTGATAAAGAACAATTGTTTACTTTATCTCACTTTCGAATAATATTCCGTGTTGCCTAAACAAATAGCAATCAAAAAACAATTGTTTACTTCCTTTGGTTCCTCACTTCGAAAAGGTATGGCATTCGGCTAAGTAAGATATAATTCTTTTCAAAAGAAAATTAAAAGGCAAAAGGTCAGCCCATGAAAAGAAGGGTTAAGTAAGAAACAAAGAGCCAGAGGCATCTTAATCACATAATTTATATTATAAAGCATAATTTAAGTGTACTAAATCACATAAATGTCCAAAGAAGGGGATTAATTTGTCGTATATGAATTGTGGAATAAATCTTGTAATTACGAATACTGTAGTTATGAATAGTGATCATAACTAATTAACCGGTATTATATTTGAACAAGGTATTATTTACATAAAATAATGTTTTATTTATTTATATAAACGGTAAGTCGTAATATAACGTAGGAAAGAATAAAAATAAACGAACAAATATTTATGATGGTATATGATGATGAAAGCGAAGACTTAAAAATCTAAGTCGCACTTGAGAGGTAAAACGGTAGAGGAGGTTGTAGTTCCGTTGAAAGCAGCTAACGGAAGCCTTAGATCATCGCAGTTAACCTTAGGCTTAATCCTCCGACCCTTCAAGTCCCCAAGCTTAAACCTAACCCTAAGCCTGAACTTGATCTCTATATTGTAAACTCCGGCGATCCTCTCCGCGTTGTAAGTACGAGACTCTCTGGCGTCAAAGATAACAAGATTTTGGCCTTGGAACGTTGGTTTGAGAACGGTCGTGTTCTTGTGTCCTTGATAGAAAGGAGTCAACGTGGTAGAGCTAAACCGTTTTCCCTCGTAGTAGGCATGAGCTTCGATTCTGTCGTAGTAGACTCCAATCCTCTTGTTAGGGTTACGGACAGGGACCGTGAGGGCTAAGTTATACCTTAAAATGTTGTCCGGTGAAGTGTGTTCGAAGCGCGTAAGGGAAGCTTCGGTCACATGAAACTTGATGGCTCGAGGACGGACAATGAGCCAGAAGATGAGAGAGGCTATGCCAAGGATAACGATAATGGCTATGATGACTTTGACAAAGAAACTGAGGAGGCAGCAGCCACAGCCGCGGCTGTGCCCACGTCTGTTGAAGTAGCCTTTGGGAGCCGGCGGTGGGACTGATGGACCATAGAAAGCGCCGTTGAGAGGTTGTTCAGCCATGGTTTAGGGTTGTGGAGACTTGGAATAGATGGATATATGGCTAAGAGGTTAATGCAAGTCCTCTTTATATACAATTTTTCATATATGCGTTGGTCAACTTATAGTAAGGTATTGTCACGTTACGCGGTGATTTGATCGAAAATTTTGACCAGAGAATATTATACAATTGTAGGCTTGTGATGTTGCCTCATAACTTCCAATAACGACTATTTTGTATAAGATCATATATGTTATTATTTTTTTGTCTCTCGCCGTACGTTGGTTCTCAATTCTCATATATGATGAAAGCGTTCTAGAACATATATAGGTGTGGGTCGTGTGGAAACATCTTTTAAACCTTTAAAAAAAAAAAAAAAAACAATCTTTAAACTTCATATTGGAAAAAACATGAATCCACTGACCATGGATCAAAATCGTACCAAAATTTTATTGTACTATATTAATTTAGTTTGATAACTATTTTTAAAATTTGAAAATCTTGTAGGATTTGAAGAATTCTTTGGACTGATCTTCGAGACCGTTCGTGAAGATATTCTTAGTATGTTTTTATTTTTATGTTCCTATAGATTTCTTCATGTTTCTTCTATACTATTCACATGTGATCGTTACTTAACAACTTGCCGACTTCCCAAGATCATTAAACGACAACTGATGAACTGATACAGCACATCATAAAAGGAAAAGAATAACATTTGTAAAAGCTAATTTATTTCCCCCACTTTGATTATTTGACTTTTGAGACCTGTTATTAAGTCTTAGCTTTCTCCTACTATAAAGAACAACTTTACCTTGAAAGATATCAGGAGCATATATGATATATGTTTCCTCCAAATAACTTATTTCTGCATCTGAAATTACTTGAAAGTTGATAACCTTTTTATCCTTCTCTAATGATTTTCCTCCTCACGTTTGTCTTTTGAAGCTAATTTCGTAGATTTATGAACTCAACTCAACTAATCATTAATTTTAGAAAATTATTTGACATGTAATTTTTTAGTGGATTCATAATAATCTAGCAACACTGTAAGGTCATGACAAATCTTTTAATTTACGAGAAGATTAACAGAAAAACAGTAGACAAATCAAAAGATTATACAGAAGCAAAAGAGTAGTGGTTGAAATAAGGAAAGAAAAATAAATAAAAAAGGCAAACTTAACGGCGTCGAAGCTGTCCTTTTGACTCCGTCATCTGACTAAACGTTGACACTGCACTTGTTCGCCATCGTATACTTGACGGCGTTTTCTCCGACAAGAACTCCGTTAGATTTATCAGCAAGATTGAGATAGGCATGACAGCGAGCATGAAGATGATACTTCCCAGTGATGATAGTCCCAACTTTCCACCTCACGCGCCCGTCGGCGCGTATAATCAACTCGACTAACCCATGATTCTCCTCGTCGCCGAGAGCGACGGCGTTATAAGGAGCGACGGGAACGGCGTTTCCGTATATGAAAGGAGACCAAACGTTGTCTTCTTTGTGGCCTTGGTACGTCGGAGGAATGGCCGTCCGGAGAGTGATTTGCTGGTTCCGGTAAGTGGCGTAGACGTGAAGACGGTCGTAGTAGATTCCGATTCTGGAGTTTGGGTTGCGAGTGGCGATCGTGACTTGGAAGTTGGAGGTGAGGAGGTTAGGCTGTGAGAGGTTGAAGGCGAAGACAGTGGTGTCTTGGAGGATGAATCTTGGTTTTTTTGGTTGGAGGATTACCCAGACGAGGAAGATTGTTATCAAGACGATGATGATGAAGGCGATGATCGCTCCGCAGATACGACTGGCGGCTGATCCTCCTCCGCCGCCGCCGTGCTTACCGCAGTCTTTGGACATTGGTATTTACGGTTTTGCCACTGAGTTTCTTTTCTGATTTTTCTTACTCTTCGTGTGATGGATGGAGAAGATGTATGTGTGATAGAGAGACTGAGAGAGAGAGAATGTGGTTTGTATTTACATTTATAATTAAAAATTGGAATATGTGTATGTGCACCTTTTTTTTTGTTTATAATTTACTCTTAGCTTAGGCTTTAGAAAATTAATATAATTTAAACTTGGCTTAGGCTCTCTACACTTTATATAAGTAATTATAGTTTCTCTTTAGGAAAAAGGTGATGAAAGTAAACGTGTGTGCAGGTGAATTAGTTATTTACTCGATATATGTAATATGTAACAAAATGTATGTGTGGATATGAATTTGTAGGGAAACAAAAGGTGTGGACATAAATCAATATTCTTAAAGGAAATGGCATTTAACTTTTAGTGTGGCTTCATCTACCCCCACCAATTTTTTAGGAGGGTGGAAGGTTCGTCCATGATTGATTCAGCGAATAAGAAAAGTAAAACATGAAAAATGGTGTGTAAATTAATCGCAGTAAGTAATGATCTAATGTGTAAACTCATTGGTTTTTCTTCTTTTTCAAAAGGACCCTATAGTTGCGATTTCAAACTAAAAATAACTATGCAAATAAAACCGTGATTCGTAAAAGGACGAAAATACCCTTCTGAAAGTAAGTTGCCACGTTTTTCTCCACGGTGCACAACGGTAGAGCCGTAGAGCTTCAGCTTAATAATGTTTGGAATTACGAGTGGACTTAGCTGAGAATTATCAAAATACATCACTTGGATGGAACACAATTAATCGGGGGGGTTAAATAATGAAATCTGTAAGAGAAAAATGAAAAAAAAAAAATTGGTGGAATTCATTGTAACTTGGGTGAATAGTAAATTATGTTTGGCGGATTGGCAAATTTGTGGCAAAAAAAGCTGAAAAAGTTAAACTTTTAGAAAATACTTCGGAAAAGCTTCACGGGTTGGACAAAAGTAAAAAATATTACCAAATGCGTATCACGAGAAAATCTTCATTTCTAGATGCTTATTTAAGGAAAGAATAATGTTTATTTAAGGAAATCAAACTTGTTAGTTAACATTAATACTAACAGCGCCAAAGTTTTGTTTTTAATATTTACACGGCACAATAACGTTGAGACAGGAACAGATAATCCGACACACCAATAAATTCAACTTAAAAGAGAAACGAATATAAGATGTACATCAGTACATACAGTTCTTGTTTTAATTCATTTCATATAAATTTTAGTTTTCAAGTTCTTTTATAACTTTAAAACAAAAAAAAATCCAGAATCGCAGCTCAATATTAGATTAGGATTGTTGTTATACGATATGATATATGTCCAAGAAAGCTTTGCATTCATAAAAACTAGTTTAGGCAAGATACGACTACATTAACTCTTTCTCACTTTGATCTGCTTTTTGACCAATGCAAAAACAGAGTCAGGTTTTGTCCTTTTTTGTTGTTGAGTTCATATGAATATTGTACCAACCAAATATATACAAAGACACATATCCAAGAACTCGGTTACTGAATCATATATACTACAAATCAAATCTTCCTTTAGCATAAGACTGAAAGTGAAAGTTTTAGGAAAAATCGTAAAGAAGAGAGACAAGTGAAGTTGCTTACTACGCTTCTTCACTGAGCTGAAAGTTTCCCAAGTTGGACGCTGAAGAGGGTGGTAAACGCCGGTTCCAACAGATTTCCTCAAAACGTTGCCATTTCGATGAACCAGACCACCGTTCTGCAACCGTGTCGCTTGTCTCTGTAAAATTCTAGCTCTCTCTTCCTGTGACTACAACCCACCCAAAAGAAACATCAATCGATGAATAAAGATCCAACAGAGAGATGTAGGGAGACAGATAAAGTTCGCATCTTTCTTAACCTCATTGTTGCGAAGCCTTGAAAGATGAAGTTCGTAGAAAGGATCAAGCTTGGACCTTTCATAGTAAAATCTCTGATAAACTTCAGAACCGGCATCGCTTGTGTTCGTCGCTGTAAAGAGACTCTTTGATCTTAAACCCTGAAAAGGGCACACGAAAATAAGAATGCCAAAACGTAAAAAAAATGTGTTTTTGAATGTGAAAACAGAGTACTTTAACAAGAATGCGAAACAGAGTAGAGAGACTCAAGTGAGTGAAACAGAGAGAAAAAAAGAAAGGACCTGGAGACTCCAGGGCGGAGGAGGAATCCTTATGGGTTTAGGACGGAGAAGAGACATCGAAGAGAACTGGTCGGAGAGCGTATCCACGAAGCCGGAAGCGTACGGATCACGGTGGCAACGACGGAGCGAGATGAATGATTCGGCGGACGAGTCGAACTCGCTGAGGAATCGATGAGAACGAAGCTCCATTTCCCCGTAATCCAAATCCACACGAAACTGATCTCTTGCCATCAAGTCGTTCAAGATTCAAGACTGAAATCTTTCTTGGAGGAAGGAAAAATAAAAAAGCTCAGCCTTTTTAATTTGTCGTTACAGAATGTTTTAAAACAATTAAAATATTACAAATATCATTTTTACCACGCGGCTTAGTGACTGCGAAGGTCACGTGATCCACTCTCCCACACGCCTATATTCTCCGTTAAGTCCGTGGCCTTAATACAACACCTCCATCCCCCACTCATATTTTGACACGTCAGAGAAGATGTTTGCTTGAGGCTATAACCGTTTCAAGACTGAAATCTTTCTTGGAGGAAGGAAAAATAAAAAAGCTCAGCCTTTTTAATTTGTCGTTACAGAATGTTTTAAAACAATTAAAATATTACAAATATCATTTTTACCACGCGGCTTAGTGACTGCGAAGGTCACGTGATCCACTCTCCCACACGCCTATATTCTCCGTTAAGTCCGTGGCCTTAATACAACACCTCCATCCCCCACTCATATTTTGACACGTCAGAGAAGATGTTTGCTTGAGGCTATAACCGTTAGCGCGTGTGTTAAACGCTCTAGGAGATAGGGTGTGTTACCCACTCTGCAACCGCCGCAGTCACGAAGCCACTATCTGTTTTCCTACAAGTGTCAGAGCTGTTAGTTTTAACTTTTAACATTATAAGGTGTGCGCTTGTGTATTTTTCCTTTCGTGCACCTTCCTCGACTCTTTTACAAGTCCAAGTAATTATCGCACAAGTAAAATTACGGCAAAAGACTTCTTTTAAACAAAGAACAAAAAATGTACGGAAAATATAGAAATGATATCATTAACGAAAATAGTTTACTAATTATGTTAACACGAGTGAGAAAAATAGTCTATACACTCACACAACCAATTAAGAGTTGACACAAGTATTTAGGGTATGAAGAATGACATGTATGTGGCACAATAAGCACCAAAATTATATATACTATTACCATGGTAGTAGGGCTGAAAAAGAAAACAATAATTATACATTGTGCACATTTTGAATAACTACTACACCTTATAACCGTAGGTCCGTAGCATAGATTATCATACTATCAAAGTATACTCTGTTTTCGAAATCCTTAGCTTCGAGGAGGTTCAGATCGACGCTTGTGAAGATGGATTTATCGATTGGATAAGAAGAAGTTATGAAAAAAAATAATACCACTTCATATTGATAAATATTATTCAATGGAGTTTGAGAGAGAAAAGAAGATGATGCATATCAACAAAAAAGACAAAAAAAAAAGTCAGTGATTCTCTCACTATTTATACATATGTATTTGTTTTTATTGAGATGAATTCATATAGACGACTTTTTCTGAGTTAACACCTGAACCGAACTTTAAGAGTTGAAGAGGTTTAACACATACACCAACTTAACTTTAAAATGAATTCAATGACTTTTTTTTCATTCTTTCTCTTATACATAACTTAAGAATCCTACGACACAGCTTAGGGACAACTAAGAAGTAAGCCTAAATAGGTATGATGTACATTTGGGCACACCGACGAATGATGACACCCGCAAGCATCAGTCTTCAACTATTGGAGCATCGGTTTCATCTCTTCTGATATTGTCTCAAGTTCTTTGAGAGCTTGCTCGATCGCACAGATTACCATCTTCTTTATATGTTCTTTATCTCTTACACGAGAAAAAAACAAAACAAAAAATGCTCAGGCCAAGGAATGGAATACTAGCGGAGAAGTGTGGAATGCTTGAAATAGACTATCCTCCATCACAGATACACTAATAAAAAAAAAAAAATTGCAAGACATTATCCTATCAGTATGTCCAAGTGTATCACAGAAGAAAGAAATTAATGTTCTCTTGCTCGCTAATTTTCTTTCTTCTATGATCTCTTCTTTCACAAGTATAAATAGTAATCTTTTCTTTCTGTTACTTCCGTTAGATCTCACAGCCAGATTGACTTCGTAAATCGTAATGCCAAATGTCCTCTACTTTGGATAACACCAAAGTCCCATAAAAGAAGGATCACTCTCATAAGACAAATAGCTCCAATTATGTGTTTTAAGTTTACTTGGAAAACAAACGCAAACGAAAAGCACTTGCATTTTTAAAAGGGAAGTTTGTTTAAGATATTAGATTTTGTGATTTATAGGTGAAAGTACATAATAAAATATACTCTCTTAGTTTAATCAATTTATCTCCTATCTTTGTTTATCTTTGTTGATTCCTCTTCCATTCCCTCTAAGCTGATGTTTCTGGTGTTTTTAAAGCTGTTCTGTAATTTGTTACTTCTGTTGTATTACTTCTGCTCGGCTATATGGGGCTATACAAGGCGAGGCTAGCACAATCTGTCCTAGGTATATCAGTTGTTAATATATACATGCAAGTATATGCAATTAGTATTTTTTCTGACAAAAGAAAAAATTCATATTTTCAGGAAACATCATTTATGTTTATTTCTTCCCTTCTTTTTCACTTCTTTTCCTCATTCTTCTATTCACCATTTTTCATTCTTATGAACATCATTTTCTAAACAAAAAGGCAAAATATAAGTAAAATATAAGCAAGTTATCATCTTCCATAATTGCTAACTTTCATATATCAACCTTGATAAAGTACTTCCACAAAAATTAAAGAAAACCAATAATTGTTAACAGGTTCTCAAAAACAAAATCAATAATAAATGTTGGAAGAGTCTTTTGTTTCTTTCAAATAATTGATGAATTTCGAACATCCTCTTCACATACACCTTCATATGTAGTAGAAGATTTTGAGATGAAGTAGACATCTTTATATAGGAGGAGAGACTGAGGTTTTAATTTACTCTATAGGACTCAAGATCAGTCTCGAAAAATCAACCATATTTCTCTCTGGTGTCTCTGCTCAAGTCAAGGAGGACATGGCTCAGCAATTTCCTTTCACTGCAGGTCAACAGCCAGTTCGTTATCTTGGTCTTCCGTTGCTTACAAAATGTATGTCGGCAAATGACTATCTCCCTCTCATTGAAAAGATTAGGAAAAAAATCACATCTTGGACAGCACGATTTCTCTCTTTCGCAGGCAGGCTGCAACTAATTGTCTCTGTTTTACAAAGTCTGACAAATTTCTGGCTCTCAGCTTTTCGACTCCCATCAGAGTGTTTGAGAGAGATTGAGCGTTTGTGTTGTGCTTTCTTATGGTCGGGTCCGACAAAGAACTCGTTGTGGGTGAAATGGATCAACGTATATTTAATACGTGATGGTACTTTCTGGACAACTAAGCTAAATACAAGTATGGGGTCTTGGATGTGGAGGAAGTTGCTTAAATATAGAGACAAGGCTAAGGCTTTCTTCAAAATGGAAGTAAGAAATGGTGAGAGGACATCTTTTTGGTTCGATACATGGTCTCCTTAATTTGGGTCCGCTGATAGATGTAACAGGTGAAAGAGGTTTCATAGACATGGGTATATCTCGACATGCTACTGTTTCTCAGGCTTTAGCTACGAGAAGAAGGCGACAGCACCGCTCTAGCTCTCTAAACCAAATTGAAAATCTTCTCCATACGCTCCGCGCTCGTGGTGAAGTGACAAATGACGACATCCCCCTGTGGAAGCTAACCGGTGATGAGTATAGACCTCTGTTTCAGTCAAATAAGACTTGGATGCTAATTAGAGAAAATGGGGTTGAGAACAGTTGGCACCGAGGAATCTGGTTCCGCCATTCCACCCCAAAATATGCTTTTTGTGCTTGGCTTGCTATACACAATAGACTGTCAACAGCGGACCGAATGCAGAGCTGGAACACTGGAACGAATACAACATGTATCCTCTGTCAGGACCCAATGGAGACACGAGACCACCTCTTCTTCTCCTGCGGTTACTCGGCAGAAATATGGGATGCGCTCAGCAAAGGTCTGCTCAAACGACGACACACTACAAGTTGGACCAGTCTCCTCTCAATCATATCAGATACAAGCCAAGAAAAGACCACTCTTTTCCTTGTTCGGTACGTCTTTCAAGCAACTCTGCATAGCATCTGGCAAGAGAGGAACTCGCGCCGCCATGGCGAAATCCCGACACTCCCGCGCCAACTGATTCAGATCATTGACAAGAATGTACGCAACAGAATCCAAGCCGTAAGAAGCATGCGGGACACCAAGTACGAAGACGCACTTCAAACCTGGTTTGGAGCTCGCTCAATATAGGCCAAAACTCTTGTACTCCTTAATCTAATCCCTTAAACACAAGTCACATCTGTTGTAAAAAAGTTTGGTTTTTGAATAAATTTTACATGAAATTCAAAAAAAAAAAAAAAAAAAAAATGAAAATGTTAATGTAGATTTACAGTTTTCACTTATGTACAACGAAAGATACGAGGAACTCTTAAAGATTTTTTCCCTTAAACCAAAGATGGGAAAACAACATTTATTAGAAACGAGGACAATGATGAAGGATACGCAGTTTCTTTTATAAGGATTTATATTGAGTTTTCACATTTTTTTTTTTTTGTTTCATATACAAGTTGAGAAGAAATCTTAAAGATTCTTATCATATGCTGAAACGAGTACAATGATGTAAAGTATGTAAGTATCAGTGTATTCATTTCTCTTATTCTCCTCATTTTTCTATTCACAATTCTTTTTTTTACGAACATTTTTTTCTAAACAAAAAATTAATATATAAACAAAATATTAGCAAAATATAAGCAGATTACCATTTCCATGTATCAACATGTTTATATGGAAGTTACCTCCACAAGGTTAGAAGTTACTTTTCACGTTTTGTGGAGTTTGTGGAGGTAACCTGCTCCACAAAAAATAAACAAAATCAACAATTGTTAACAGCTTCTCAAAAAGAAAATCAAGAAATGTTGGAAGAATCTTTTGTTTTGTACAAATGATTGATGATGAATTTTGCTTTTGATAAGAAGTTGGGAACTCGCTAAGGCTTTGAAAGAGGTGAAACCAAGATTTGATGCGGCTGTTTAGCCCGTGCATTTTGGGATGAGAATCCCATTTCCTCCCTTACCCTTTTAAAATTTAAAATTTTCTGATATTTTTTGTAATAGAAAGTTGCAATTTCATGTTTGGAAATATTTTTTTTATTTAAATGAGTAGGGTTTGGGAAGGATATGTAATTTTCCAAAATTCATGAATTTCGTGTTTAAAAAAATTGAAAATTTGATATATTTTCTTAAATATCCTGATTTTTCGCATTTTTCACATTGTAATCATATTTTCCCGAATTTTCTCGTAAATTCCCAAAATATCGTTAATTTTCTCGATTTATTAAGAATTAGGGTATTAATTTTCTAATCCAAATTTTATATTCCCTTCTCATTCCCGTTATTTGTCATCCCATTATAATAAAAAATATTTCGAGAAGCATATTTGGTTTCCTAAATTTATCATTTCCATCCCGTTCCTTCCTGTTAATTCCCATCCCAAAACTAGGAATGTACAATTTTGCTAACTATTTTTTGCTGGTGATTGGTAACTAATTTTTGCTATTGTTTTTCACTCGAAGTTCTTCTTTTTCATCTAATGTTTTAGACCCAACAACAAAACAAAATTTAAGTGGTCTTGTGGCGACATTTCTATAATAGCCCAACAAAGCCCAATACATCAGCATAATACATATTTAAATTGTCTACCAAACTTTTTGGGGCCGGAATATGGCAGGTCTAAAATGCTAATCCAAAAAATTAATCTGATATATATTATATATATATATATATGTATATCTAATATCCAAAATCCAAATCGTGTATTTCTCATGGCTTTGAAAAGAAAAAAAAAAAAACATGTGTCCACTTTCGTTAGACACATTTTTCTATATACTGATTGTTTCACCTAAAAGATACGACTAGGGATCCGATAACTTATGTAAAGATTAAAACTCTTTTTTGGCAGAGAAAACTTCCAAGAAAAAAAATCCTTTTTCGCATAATTCATTGGAATTTATGATTCGTACGACATGGAAACTTTTTTTCTCAGGAAGAAGTTTGACTTTTTACAGTTTATCAATATTGGAAGCACAAGTTACATCAATGTGAATCCAACTATAGTTTTCATATATGGAGGTTTCTATTTTAGTTTATTTAGTACATGCTACTCACTTTCTCATGACATGTGTTGTTTTCTATGAACCTTAATTCCCTATCAATTGAAAAGAAAGGGGAAAGAGGATGAGGATATGTTTACTGCAATTGACGTTGCATTTTATTATAATGTTATTCAAAAAATTGGTAAAAATTGAAAAATAGAAAGAGACATGTAGGATACCACACTATGTTGTAGTAATGTGAAAGTTGGAATCTCATAATTGAACAAGAATTTATATATAACAAAAGCTTTACAACTTGCTCTTCAAAAAAGTAATTGCCAAGGCCCCATATCCCGACTATTCCCCATTCATGTTTTCGTTTTCTAGTTTTCTTACTCTAAATGTATTTTAATTATTTTCTATTTGAAAGAACATTGTCATATTTCTTTAACATACACAACTTTGGAACTACTCATATATATATATATATATATATATAACATTTTTGGATTATGACATGATGGCAAGATCACGCCTATATTACCTTACTCTTCAAAAAGTTAAAACCCCATATTCCTCATGGAAGCGAACCATTGCTTCCTAAATGGATTCTTCTTTACCGTAGTTATATTATTTTACCTGAAAATGTAGTAGCTAGAACCGATCCTCAGTATAAGGAGAAATATCTTACACTCTGGATCACATATTAGATATCTAAAAATGTTTGTTCCATGTTGATTTTTTTTCTTTCCAAGAAGCTTAATTTTCGGAGTTGCTAATGTGAGTTTTGCGTAGGAACTCTAAATACGTAGGATGGGATCTGCATTAAGTAATACCACTGTTTCAATATACAATAGTCCACTATTAATGTCCACGCGTGAGAAACACCGAAACAACATGACTAGTCAGATAGTTTATCTATGAGTTTTATACATATCAGATAAGTTGTCTTTTGCTTATGAGATATTCTTTATTGAGTTCTCTCCTTCTGATGATATGAAAAAAGTTCATTTTTCAAATTCATAGCTTTATGAATTTAAATAGTATTATTTCTGAACTATTGTGCTTGGCAAAATGAAACACAAGAAAACATTGACATGAAAGTTATGTATAACAATGATTCTGATAGTGAAATAATCATATTGCATATTTTATATGCACACACATGCATATATATACCCAGAAGTACAGAAGACAATACATATGTAGACGGCTTTCATGAGGGACCCAAACTCTCTTCGATCGATCCCTATAGAACGAAATTTACATGTTTCATATGTGTTATTACTTATTATTAAAACTTTCGCACTAAGAATTATAACCCGATAAATGATAAACAAACATGAATTATCTAACCTTGACTTTTGCCAAATGTATGTATGTAGGTATGTGAATATGATTGTGTGTATGTTTCTTTATCGTGATCTCATCATATATAAAATTAACATCAATATTATTAATGAAAAATGCATAAGGATCACTAACATAAAACCTTAGTTCTTTCATGACATTTTATTTTATTTTTTATTTTATTTTTGTCAACATGACATTTTATTTATATATTGCTTCTACTTTGTTTCTACGATCGAACATCGTACAAACAAAAAAATACAGAAAAAGTTCACCTCAACCAAGCATTTTTGTTCCATCAATATTTTTTTCTGTCAAGCTATCAATTCAAAATCAAATAACTGATATTTATTAGTAGTAAATAAAATTCTTCCACTGGAATGCACAATATTTTTGTTATTGCCGTTTCTGCAAAGGAACTAATAATATTCACAAATTTAAGCAAGTTTTTTATATTTATTTCTCATATATATGTGTGACTAAATATATATATATATATATATATATTGTTTGCATAATATCTTGATGTTATAATTATGAAAAGCATTAACTTTTATATCAGTAAACTGGAATTAGGCAATTATTGTGGTGTAGCCTTTTTGAATCTTGACCTATTTATTACAGGACTAATGCTAGCCTTGTCCTTCTCCCCAATTTCTGCTTGTTAGTAATTTAGTATTCAATGTTGCCCCTTTGAAACAATGACTTAAGAAAAAAAAAAAAAAATTAGGAAATTAAAACTATGAGCTTTCGCAAGCATAATTCTATTGGTTTTAACTATTTCTTATGAAAGTTTATAGCTTTAGTTTTATCATGTTATATACTACCTATCAACAATTATATATATTATAACTATATATATAGAAACACATATGTAGAATTAGGTCGACAAACACTATTGATGTTGTTGACTACATCAATAGTACGTAGTTAGGAAGATCGATAAGATGTGTAAAATCATTCATTAAAAATCCTAATGTTTTGGTTTTGATTGTATATATGCTGTTTATGATAGACCTCAGTTTTCCTAAGAACTTTTGGTGGTCATGGGTTTGAGTGGAATGGTTCTTTTGCTAGAGACTTAATTGCATGATGACAAAGTGATACGCTACAGCCCTTTTTCCTACGTTATAATTCTTTGTTCAAAAACTAATTTGACAACAACAAGTGATGGGAGGGCTTTTCTTTTTCGCTTTGAGATTTTGTTAAAGAATTGAAGTCGTATAATATTTGTTTCGATAATATTTGACCGTGATACATTAATACTCATATGTCAAGATTGGACATATACGTATAAGAAAAGTTGAAAGCCGGTTCTAAAAAAGGACGTTTCAGTAGTTAATTATTTAATTGATATTCTTGTTGGTCATGAAATTTATAAACCACATTAACAGTTTGGTTATATTGGACTAACCTATTTTTTTACAACAACAAGCAATTCGTTTAGTAGGGACTGACAACCTTTTTTTTGTTTTGTTTAAGGGACTGACAACAAAATAGTAAGAGTTTCTAGTTTCTACAAACTCAGATATGTACAATAGTATCTATTTAAAGTTTATTAAAACTATAAGAAAAAAACCATTTGCTTGTGACTTTTGTATTTTCCATATTGGGTTTTTTCACAACAAGGTTAGATATCCGAGTGCTCAATTTTGTTTCTTTTGCAAACACTGTTACAATGTATCATTACTCACGGTCACTTTCAAATAATGAATACCTTAGTGCAAGTTCTTTTTCTTTATATTTCATACATTACCCCGATGTGTGTAGGCCTCCTAAAACGATTGGATTGCGTTAAAATGGAAGTCAA